AAAAGACAAGTAGGAAAGCATTAGCAAGCACTCGTGCAGAAGGAGCTTGGTATTTATTTGCACAAGGTTTTATTTCTAAACAGAAGTTATTAAATGCCCAAAATAGCCAAAAGCCTCCGAGAGGCTACCCAGGCCAGAGCTTGTATCAGCTCAGCTTTAAAAACAACCAGTTGCTGACTTCCAAGGTTGAGCTTAAGCTACTACAGAGTTTCTAAATTAGCCTCAGAGGCCTCTTTAGGCTGGCGGCAGATCCCAGCATGTTCCCTGTTCAAGAACACCCCTGTCACCAGCACCTGGGTTATAACCTTGCACAGCCACAGTGCGGGCAGGTTACTCAGGACGTGCCAAGGCACTTCTGGCTACAGAGATACCCTCCAGTCACCACCTCCCATCGCTGAAGCTTCCATTTCAGAAAGAAAGAAAGAAAGAAAGGGAGGAATCATTGTTCTGTGAAGCAACCAAGCACGTGAATCACTGCCAGCACCAGGATAAAGAATCACACAAGGTGACAAAGAAGGAAGCAACACTCATCGCTGTGTGACTGGAACAAACCCATCCGCTCAGAGCTGGTTCCACATTCCAAAGTATTGCAGTTCAAGCAAGGACATGGAATCAGAGTGATGGCATTTTAAAACAGGCATCAAAACCTTTCACTCCTCAGTATGTTTAAGAGCTATTCAGCTATTTTAAGAAAGCAAATGTATAGGCTCAGGATCTAAACTTGACAGTGGTTAGATTATACTAAGGATTTAAGTCCTTCTGTTATCAAGATATAAGCAAAAGCCAGACTACTCAAGGCTCTTACTGAATTCTGTGTTGCTTTCCATTTAGCTACAAAACGGAAAGAGAAACTAGGGAGCTGTCAGCATCCAGCAGCTCTCACACTAGGACAGATTCCTGAAGAGAAGCCAAACACTGTCCTTACAGGTGGTTCCAGGGGATTTGCTGCAGAACAGCTAGTTCTGGAAGGTCAGGAAAACACATGGGGAGATACAAACCACTTGCTGCTCTATTCCTATGTTTTATTAACACAGAAGCCTCAGTTCATGCTAACACAGAAGTGTACTGGGATTGCTTTTGGTGGTAAAGCCAACTTCCAACATGGAGATAACAGTTATGGAAGAGATGACCTCCAAGAATGATTAGCAGCTGAGGACACAGCCACCAGAGACTGTATGAAAGCCTCCAGAAGTCATCTAAATCTAGTGTGGTGATCCCAAAGGACTGCAGTCACCTCTGAGAGCAGATGCCTCAGTGCCCACATCCTCCAGTGTGGAGGCATTGGTAACTTAAGCAAAACAAAGCGCTCTTGGGTTTGATGGCTTTGCTGCTGTGTGATTGTAAGGTGCCAGACAGGAAACAGGATGAATGACCTGAGGATTGTTGGCAACCCCAGCTCTGTTTTGCAGACAGGTCTAATGATGTGCTTTCAAGCACAGGGAGCTGTTACATCAGCCTGTCCCTCTGAGAGTTCCCACCTTACATCCTTTTTACATCAGTCTGAGACGCCCCTGGGCACAATTACTGGATGCTGAAACATCATGTTAAATCCTGCATCTAGGTCATGGCTCTTTCACCAGGATTACACAGAACCAAACCACACAGCAATCACATCATCACTCCTCCATCCCTGGCAGGCAGAAAGCCTTGAGGAGGCGCAGGCTGAGCTCAGAGCATTGCTCCTCAGTGCTGCCCTATTGCAGTTGCACAGAAACCTCCTGCAGGAACTGCTGGGAGTCTTTTCCATTTAAATTAAACCAAACAGTTTGTCCTGTGAGATCCATGAAGTCTGCAAGCACCATCTGCCCCAGCAAGGACAGGTATGAAATCACCTCCAAGCCAGGCCCTCAGTTAAAGGAGCAAACAAATCTCTTTGCTGTCACAGCATTAAAGCAAACATGATAGTTACACGATAGTGTATTACCCCGGGGCTTGGATCACAAGCTCTTCCTCATGCTAACGCCTGAAGTATCAGGCAAGACTCAGACACCACCCCTGAAAAACCACCCAGTCCATGGGTAGCATCAGAACTTAATGGACATGCAATTCCCATTTACCTGAATCCTGGCACGTGTATTAAAAGGCCTTCTGTTTAATGCACAAACTCTTCAGAATCATGCTAATCTTCCAGTTTGTGCTCAAAAGCCCAGCTCCAGTTTGCACTGAAATGACTGCTGCATTTTAAGTCTTTTAGATGAAAAGAGAAGTATTATTATACTCTGTTTTCAAACTTTTCAGTGTATTATTGTGTTAACCCCCAACAGAAGAGTTCTTCCTACTCCAAAAGATGTCTGTAACTCAAGCAGGCTTGTCCCAGCTCTGAAAGCTTTAAGCCTGGATTACAGTATGTGTACGCAAAGGCCCCAAAGTACTTTATCGGTGTTATTCCAACAGGTACTTTCCAAAGGAGAAACTTCCATCATGGATCTCAGCTGTTTCTCTGAGGATGGCAACTACACAACAGAGACTGACAACACAGAACGAAAGCCACCTCTTCAGAGGAAAATACAACTTCAAGTCTAAAAAAGGAACGTGAGGAAGTGCCCCACGTCACTGAGTTGTGAAATTCCCATCACGTGGAAAGGATGAGGCACCCTCATTTCAGACCATGAGCTCATGGAGGTACGCTCGTGCCTGAAACCCAAGTCCCCTCCCCCGCCCACCCGCAGTGCAATGGGGCTTGTTTTAGCATCACCAAAACACAAACCCAAAACCCAAGTCTGTACCTTTTTCCTCTTGGAACTGGGACATTTCTCAGCAGAAAGAATGCCATGCAGCACCGTGACCCCATAGTCAGGCTTTTCCAGCTCCCCCCCGCAGTTAGTTAAGGGACTGTACTCAGAAGTGACCAAACTTGGCCTCTCTGCTCCTTTTGAACCAGGCGTCCCTTTCTTCTCTGCTGTCTGAAAGGCTGCCTTGAAGTTTAAAGGATTATAGGGATCATCTGAGGTACAGAATGAGTTCCAAAGCTTCAAGTTTTCTGCCTCATCCCCACTGCTACAGTCCCATTCCTCCTCAGAACTGGGGTGAGGAGAGCCCGAGGACTCCTCTACCCACGAAGAATCATCATCTTCCTCCTCTTCTATATCTGACATGTCCCTTCCCGGCTCGCAGGAAGATGTCTGAATGGTGGCTGTGAAGTTCTGAGGGTTGTACGGATCCAAACTATAGAAGGAATTCCAGAGGTGAAGCCTGTCCCCGTTCTGGCTACGGACGTCTGAATCCAAGGGGAGCTCCTCTTCGCTATCGAAACCATCGTCATCATCATCCCAGTCTTCCTCATCATCCGCACTCTCCTCCCCACTGGAAACTCCCCCTATTATATAGTCTATCAACTTATTGGCACAGGCGGGTCTGACCGAAACGGGAAGGATTTGCTCTATTTCCGAGTCCTCGCCATCCTCTTCACCCAAGGCTTCCCCCTCAAGTGTCCCCTTATCGGCTGAGCCCCCGTCCCCCTCCTGCTCCAAGGCACCACTACCTCCGGGCCGTGTCCCCGTGTCGCTCGGCTCCTGGGGCCGCTTCAACTCCCCAGCATCGCACCGCTGGTCCCGCCGTGCCCCTACCTCCTCTTGCCAACCGCCCTTGTGCTGCTGCTGCTCCTCCTCCAGGCTGTGGTAGCCGTGGTCCGGCTCCGGCACGGCCAGGCCCCCGCTGCCCAAGTGCCACGGCTGGAGAAAGGCCAAGCGCTTGCTGCGGACGAAGTCGGCCTCGGGCAACGCGCCCCGGAGGAGTCCGGCCTCGGCGGGGCCCTCGGCTCGCAGCGGCTGCGGCAGATGGTTCTCTCTAGAGCCGCCGCCCGAGCCCTGCTCCGGGCCCCGCACGTACAGGTCCACTCGCAGCACGGACAGGGGCAGCAGGCGGCTCCGCAGCAGCTCGCTACGCCACAGGCCCGGCGGGGCCTTCGCGCCGCCCTCCCGCTTCTTCTCCAGCGTCTCCTCGGCCCAGTCCGGCGCGGCCGGCTCCGACAACAGCGGCGGCGGGGGGCTCTTGGCGGGCGGCTGCCCGGCGGGGGGGCAGAGCGCGCTGCTCAGCGCGGGGCCCGGCAGCAGCCGCTGCAGCAAAGCGGACGGCGGGGACAGGAGCTGCGACACGAGCCGCAGCCATGAGAAGGGCGGGGTCGCCTGGGGCGAGGCTCCGGCGGGGGCCGCGCTAGGCCCGGCCAGCTTGGGCCAGGCCGCGGCGAAGCCCAGCCGGGCCCACCCCAGGCCACCGCGTTCCCGACCGCTCTGCTCCATGCGCGGGCAGAGGGTGCTGCTCAGCGGTCCCGGCGGTGCGGCGGTGCGTGCGGAGCTGCGCTCCGGGCAGGGGCTGCGGTGCTCCGGGCTGCGGGCGGCTCCCATCGGCTGCTTGACTCCATCCTGCTGCGGGCGCTGACACAAAATGGCGGCAGGGGCCCGAGGGCAGCACCGGCACCAGCCCCGCACCGCGCAGGCGCTCTCTTCGTCACCGACCCCGGCACCGCCCATTGGGCACAGCGATGGCCACGCCCCCACGTGAGGCCGAACCCGGGGCGGGGTCACCGGATTGCATCAGCCGCGCGGCAGCAGGAGCTGTGCGGTAGCGCCCCCTGCGGTGGCGGAGGGCTCTGCCCCGTTACCGGCGCCAGCCCCCGCGGACCCCCTGCGGGGAGCCCCGGCCGGGAGGGAGTTACCGGGAGAACGAGCTGGGGGGGCCGCGGCACTGCGCGTGCAGGGGGGCAGCGCGTGGGACCGGGGAAACTGGGCTCGGGGGCGGGCGCTGTAGCAGGCAGGGGCGCAAGAGGCGCAGTCAGGGGTGCAGGCAGCGCCCACAGCACCCGATGAACTTCTTCATTTCCACGCCCCCTGGTGGAGGCAGCAGGGACCCGGCTCCAGCCCCCCCCATCGCTGCAGGCCCCCGATCCCTGCAGCCCCCCCATCGCTGCAGCCCCATCCCTGCAGCCCCCCATCCCTGCAGCCCCCCCATCGCTGCAGCCCCCCCATCGCTGCAGCCCCCCAATCCCTCCAGCTCCAGCTCCAAGTTAAAACTTTTAATATAAAGGTTCAGTTCATTCTTCTCGATCCTGAGAAACTTTTCATCCGTTTACGGAGCTCCTGCTGTAAACAAAGCACCACAGGCACCAAACCCGCCCCGGCGCAGCAGCCTCGGCCCCGGGGCCGCAGGGAGGACGGGAGACGGATGGAGGGTGAGCTGGGTGATGATGGGTGTCCCACCAGCATGGGCACGGGCAGGGCGCCGGCTGTCCCCATGGCACTGGGGGTCAGCCCCATGGGACCGGCCCCGTGCCCAGCCCCAGCACACCGCTTACCTTTGGGAGCGACGTCCCCAGATGGGAATGCCCTGGCTGGAGCTGTACCCCGAGCTCTGACCCTCCCCGCGCCTCCCCTCTCCTCCCCACCCGGTGCCCGGCCTCACGCTTCTCGTTACTTAGAAAACAGCTCCAATGCAGATATCCCAAAGGAAGAGTCCTCCCGTCCCCGCGGTCCTCCCTCCTCCCGCCCCGCGTTGCTCCCTTGACACAAGGTAAACTTCAAAGAGAAGCCGCCCGCAGCAGCACCCATCGGTGCCCGGTCCCCACAGGCACATCCCGGGCTGAGCAGAGCCGCGGGGTCCCCAGCCCCAGTGCTGGCCCCTCAGAGGGTGCCGTGGCCGCGGGACCCCAGGGCGAACCAGCCCATCTTCTCCTGCGCCAGGTCGAGGTCCCGCAGGCGGATGCCGACCTCCCCGAGCAGGATGTTCTCCCAGAAGCCTTCCTCGCTCAGCACGCTCAGGCGCAGCTCCCGCTGCTGCAGGTCCCCCCGCGGGATCCCGTCATAGACCAGCTGGGGGGCAGAATTGGGCAAACCCTCAGCTACAGACCCCCTGAGACCTCCCATCCCCATTCCCATCTCCATCCCATTCCTATCCCCATCCCATTCCCATCCCTGTCCTCACCTCCATCCCCCATCCCCATCCCCATCTCCATCCCATTCCTATCCCATTCCCATCCCCATCCTCACCTCCATCCCCCATCCCCATCCCCATCTCCATCCCCATCCTCACCTCCATCTCCCATTCCCATCCCCATCTCATTCCCATCCCCATCCTCACCTCCATCCCCCATCCCCGTCTCCATCCACAACTCCATCCCCATCCCATCTGCATCTCCATTTCTATCCCCATTCCATCTCCATCCCCTTCCCATCCCCACCCCGTTCCCATCCCCATCCCCATCCCCACCCCGCTCCCCTCCCCATGCCCATCCCACCATCTCATTGTAGGTGGGGTTGCAGGTTTTTCGGGCCACTTTGGTTTTCCTCTTGGTTGTTTTCTGGGGGTCGGGCAGCAGGTAGGTCTTGACGTAGGGGTCAGGGTCATTGCCATCCTGCAATGGTGGCTGTGGGGCAGAGCCAGGGACACCCCGTGAGCACAGCAGAGGGGTGAGCCTCCACCTCACTGCCACCGGGCACTGCACACGTACCAGCCCCCTGATGTGCATCACCATGATGAAGAGCTTGTTGTTCTTGTAGGAGATGGAGAGCTTCACCTCGCCACCGACCTTCCCCAGGGGCCGAGCCCAGGTGGCATCTGGAGGAGAGGAGGGACGCGGGTGGGATGGGAGCCTCTCGCTTCACCCTGTGCCGCGCCAGCACTGCCCCCAGCCCCCCTACCCGCTGCCTTCGGGGTCGGGTTGGTGCCGGCCGCCTTCTCGTCCCGTGGCAGGGGGTGGAAGAAGGTGTAGATGAGATCACACTGAGGGGCAAGGGGAGACATGAGCCGCGAGCACATCCTGCACCAGTCGGGACTGATGCTGGATGTGCTGCATTGACCCCCAGGCACATCCCCACCTCTCTGGTGCCCCCAGCACCATCCCACCCTGCAGGGACCCCCGGCCCCGCACCTCTGCCACCTCGGGCGCGGCGTGGATGAGGTGCCAGATGTACCCGTTCAGCTCCTCCTTCCGCCGCTCGGCCGCCGCTTCGCCCCGCGACCGCCCGATGAGGAACCTGCTGGGGAAGCTGCAGGGACGGATGCTGAGCAGAGCCCGGGGGTGCTGGGGGGCCCCGAGGGTCCGTGGGGGGCTGTGGGGGTACCTGGGCAGCAGCGAGGAGGGGAAGAGGAGGCGCAGCTTGTTGTGCAGCTCCTGGAACTCCTCAAAGCTCCGCTGCACGAAGGTCACCTCGCCTGGGCCCTCCCGCTGCACCTTCACCACGTAGGTCTGCAGAGAGATGGGGAGCCCAGGATGCCCTGAACCCATGCGGGGATGGGGAGGAGCACCAGGAGGGAGCCACCCAGGCAGCCCCTTCGCTTGTCCCTGACCGTCCCCACTCACGTAGCCCTTGCTGGGGTTGAAGACCCGCTCATGGCGGCAGAGGAAGACGTCGCGGATCCGGCCGGATGTCTTGATGGTGTGGGTGCGGGGGGCGAAGGAGAGGGTCGGGCGGGCATCAGAGCCCGTGAACTTCATCTGCGCCAGGTTGTGGATGAAGAAGTTGAGCTTGGTGGCCACGCTGCCCAGGCTCGACTCGATCAACCTGCAACGAGGCCACCACGCGCTCAGCGAGCTGAGCCGAGCCAGTGCCTCCGTCCTTGGCTCCCTCCATCCTCTCCTGCCCCAGCACACCCCAGTGTCTTCTACCTGGTGAAGTACGTGGTGGCATCAGCGTCAGAGTCCTGTGGCCTCAGGGCATCGTAGACGTACTTGAGGTCCTCCAGGTCGGAGAGCTCGGGGATGCCACAGGACAGCATCTGGGAGGCAAGGCACGGATGAGGGCGGGCGGTGGCAGGAGGAACCCTCGACTGTTCCTGGTGGTGGGAAGGGGTGCGCAGCCCCGGCTCTCACCAGCCCCAGCAGGTTCAGGAAGAGGTGGGTGTGCTTGCGGATCAGGTTGTAGGCTTGGCAGCACAGGTCGACGAAGTCATGGAAGCGACTGGAGGGTTTGTCCCCGCCGTTGATGACGTACGCCATGTCCGAAGTGAAGACAAACGGTGCCCGGTCCCTGTGCCGGGGAGGGACAGGAAGCGATGCCCGAGCAGGGGTTGCAAAGAGAGGGGGCTGCAGAGCCCGGGCTGGGGGGATGGAGACCCCGGGGGCACTTCTCACCTCTTGATGTTGCCGAACATCTGCGCGTGGCCCAGGAACCTGCCGAAGTCGATGTGGAACATGTGCCCCGTGGTCTTGAGCATGATGTTGTCGTTGTGCCGGTCGCAGATCCCCAGCACGTAGGTGGCCACGCAGCAGCCGGCGCAGGAGTAGATGAAGTTCTCCACTGCCTGGGAAGGGAGGGAAGGAGCCAACCGTGGAGGAAGGCAGGCGAGGGGGGGCTCATCCCTGCTGAGTGGGGCACGAGCAGCGGGAACCCCGCCAGGCTCTTCCTCACCTTCTCGTACTCATCCTCCCCAGGGTTGTGCTTCTGCAGCCAGTCTGCCAGCGGCCGGTCTTTGAAGGAGCCGGTCACGCCATGCTCCACCTGGATCTTGCGCAGGGTCTCGGCGTTGGGGATCATCTCCACCATGCCTGGCAGTGAGACAGCAGCGTGAGAGCACCCATCCCTCCTGAGGGGTGCCAAGACCCCAGCTCCCCAAGCACAACCCTTTGACTCCCCAGCCATTGACTGACAGCCTGCAAAGCCGTGCTCCTCTAGAGGGGCTGCTGGGTTCAGACCCAAAAGTGAATTGCAGCTGCCCACAGCAGATCCTCTCTAGCAGAGCCCTAGGACCTCCTGTGCTGTCGCTAGCCCAAGAGCATCGTGACTTTTAGACCTCAGAGCAGTTTTCAGTGTCTGAAGGATGCAAGGATGCTGGAGAGGGGCCCTTCAATCAGGGACTGCAGTGACAGGACAACGGGTGATGGGTTCAGACTGAAACAGGGGCCGTTGAGGTTGATGCCACTGGGGATGCCCTGATGCCGGGGTTACCTCGTCCACGGCCAGTGGAGAAGCAGCGGAAGATGACCATGCGCATGTCCAGCCCCTCCTGCACCCAGATCTTGTTCATGATCCGGATCATCTGCAGCGTCAGCATGTCCTGCCGCAGGTCATCCCCGCACTGCGAGCCCGTGGGGAAGAGCCATCAGAGCCAGGGGGCAAAGCTGAGGCAGCCCCACGGGGCCGGGGCCGTGCCGGGGGGGCCGGGCTCACCTTGAAGATGACGCGGATGTTTTCCCCCAGGGGATCAACGTTCTGGAAGGAGAGCTTGAGGGGGACAGCGTTGGAGTTGAAGTAGGAGCAGTCCTGGCACGGGAGGAAGGCACAGCCCATCAGGGAGAGCTGGAAAGGGGGGGAGAGGAGCCCAGCGAGCCCCCCGGCTCCAGCACTCACCCGGGGCACGATCCCCTTCACCAGCAGGCTGGGGCTGAGCGGCAGCCGGCACGACCCGTGTGCCTTGAAGAACTGCGTCACGTCCTCCAGCCCCTCACGGAGGATGCCCTGCAGGGGGGGCGGGCAGGGATGGATGGGCATGGATGGGGTGGGCACAGGATGGGGCGGGGGGGCTGAGAAACAGCCTAGGACCCCTCCCATCACCCCAGCTCCCTCCCGCACCCTCTCCTGTGACCCCAGCACCCACCTGCCGTGCGGATGGCGCCGCGTCCCGCACTTGCTGGGCCAGCCTGGCCAGCGTGCTGACGAGCAGGCACTGCCGGTCAAACTCCTCCCGCAGCCCCTTCCCGCAGCAGCACAGCAGAGCCGCCAGCAGGTACTGGTACCGGATGCTGAACTGCGAGTCCTTGAGGCCGTCCTTCAGCAGCCTGCTCGGAGCAGGGGCAGGAAGGGGTCAGGGGAGCCACAGGGATCCCCCTCACTGTTCTCAGCCCCCCAGAACCTACCAGAAGAAGTAGTGGGTGATCTTCAGGTCGCAGATCGCCCGCTTCATGAGGAAGCGCACCAGCGGGCTGTCCAGGTAGCACTCATACTTCAGGGCCTGGAGCGGGGATAGTTTTGGGGCACAGTGGGACCAGCTTGCAGCCCATGGCACATCCTGATCCTGCCATGCACCCCATGGCACATCCCCGTCCCACCACGCACCTGGACCAACTGGGGCAGGTAGTCCAGCAGCTCCGTGTCGGAGATGGAGTCAATCCACTGCACAGCCGTCCTCCTCACCTCCTGGTCCGGGAACCTGCAGCAGGGACAGGCCTCGTGGGGACAGCATCCCAGCACCCCTCCTCCCATTGCAGAGCGCGCATCCCTGCAGTGCCCACCTCCCACCCGTGCCTTACGTGGCGTGCAGGAGCCCCAGGGCATCCTGGTGGCTCATGTAGGTCCACTGGCTGAGCAGGGCGTAGATGTCGGGCAGGCAGCCCCACTCCCAGCTGGGCGCGCTGGCCAGCAGCATGGGCAGGGCGCCGGGCGCCGCGTGGCAATGGGACCGCTTCTCCCACAGCCGCTTGCGGTCCATGTCCATCAGCCTGGGGACAGGGACAAGGATGAGGCCTGGGGCAGGGGAGGGGATGGCATTCCAACCCCAACCGGGCCATGATTCTGCGGTGGAGAGCGCGATCCAGCCTGCGTCCCCCTGGGCTGCTCTGTACTGGGGGCTCCCCTCACCCCCATGCTGCACCCTGTCCCCGAGGGGACAGCTGGGAGCCCAGCACCCATGCCCAGGGGTGACTGAGCTGCTGCAGGGACATCCCTGCTGTCCCCTGAGCAGGTTTGCAACGAGGTCAGCCCTGCTCTGTGCAGTGGATCCCGGTGCAGCTGCCAACACTTGATCCTGTTGCTTATACCCAGTGCTGGGTGACTCCTGGCCTGTGCCAGGCTGGATGAGGCCAGGCAGCTGCTCCCCTGGGGGGGATGGAAAGACCCTGCCCAGGCACCCAGCTCTGACAACACCAGGCTCCAGCATCATCCCCAGTGCCCAGCAGGGTCAGACACTGACACCCCCTGGGTGTCACAGCAGGGTCCCCCCCGCAGGGCGACCCCAGCCTCGCCCCGGGTCCATCACTTACCAGTAGAGAGATTTCTTCTGCATGGCCTCCCGCAGCTGGCGCTGATCCTCCTCCCCCAGGCTGCCGAACTCGTACCTGGGGCTGAGCTCAGCCGCCGGCGGGCTGGTGAACTTCACCTCGAAGGCAGAGGTGGGGAAGTCGATCTGGGGCAGAGCGGAGGGTGAGTGGGAGCCACACATGGGGCTCGGTGGGGGGGTGTCCCCAGGCGCCCCGGGACACACCTGCAGGATGACGCTGTCGGGCTGGTTGAAGTTGGGGGCGCTGGACCTGGCTCTGGAGTTGTCCTGGGTCGCCGGCCACAAGCCCAGGAGCTTCCTCCCGCAGGTCAGGACCCTGGAGGAGAAGGAAGGGCGAGGGCACCGCTGCGGCGATGCTGCCCCCGAGGCACCCGGCCCCCCCGGCCGTGCCCCATGGCGGGGGCCCCGCGTACTGCCTGAAGTTGAAGAGTGGGGTGGTCACCCAGCCCAGCGCCTCGGGGACGCGCCGCTGCTTGTTGGTGTCGGAGGAGCCCCCCGGGGGTGGGACGGGCACGGCGAAGAGCGTGAGGCTGAGCAGCGTCTCCCGCGGCAGCCGGTTCACCTGGACCGGGAAGCAGATCCTGCGGGAGAGCAGCCACGGCTCAGCCCTGCCGGGGACGGGACCCGCGCTCCCCATGGCCCGGCCGGACCCTGCCTGCGGACGCCGAGTGTGTCCCCGGAGAGGAGAGGAGAGCCCAGCCCAGCCCAGCAGCGCCCTTGCTGCTGGCACTGGGGGTGCTGCATGCGCCCAGCGCGGGATGAGGGCCCCTCGACACGGGCGCGATGCGGCTGGGTTTGGGGAGGGTCCCCACCGCGCACTGACCTCGTCCCACGGCCAAGGGGGGCTGCGTGGGACCCCGGGGCTGAGGCTCCTCTGCGATGCTCCCTGGGAGCCCAGGGGCAGCTACGTCCCTGCCAGGGTCGGCAGGGGCCGGGGCTGCGGGCACGGCTCCGCTCCCCGCCGGCCGCTCGGCGCCTGTCCTTGGGGGCACCGGCACCTTCTAAAATTACCCCGTCCCATCCCCACCTCCCTGCGAATGCCGGGCCCGGGCCTGGCGCTGCCTCCCTGCCCGCTCCCGGAGCTATTCTGGGAGCAGATCCCCTTTCCCGGGCACAAACACGCAGGTCCAGGGCGGGCAGGGCTGCTGCTATTCCCAGGGATGACACAAGAGCTTCCAACACCCAAACCCGAGGGAGAGGTGCAGAGAGGAGCTGCAGGAGCAGGGCAGGAGGAAGGCTGGGTCTGGCACCAGGACCCCCTGCCCACCCCATGGCCGGGTGCTGCCTTACTGCTGGTCCCATATGATGAGGTGGAAGAGGTATTTGTAGACGTTGGCCTTCTTGGTGAGCAGGGGGCTGCACAGCTCCTTGCCACCGTGGCTGAGGGAGCAGGAGAGGTAGAAATCTTCATAGCTGCAAGAGGAACAGAGGGAGCTGTGAGCTGGGGGGGGGCTCAGCTGGGGCAGGGGAGCTGTGAGCTGGGGGTGCACCCCACCATGGGGCAGACCCACAGCAGTGGGGTGGAGAGGATGGGAGCTGCATCTTCCTGAAGCTGGGCTTGGGAAAGGGGCTGTGCCAGGAAGGGGGTGCAGCGCCGGGCGCCATGTCCCCATCACCATATGCCACCACACATACCATCACACGGGGGCTGCCGGGGGGCCCTGCCATGTGGCAGGTGCTGAGCCACAATCCAGGGAGGGCCGGGGTCAGGGGATGCCGGCATTTCCCAGGCTTCCCGCTTTGTTCGGAGCCACTCACCAAGGGGAATACATTAAGGGCAGGACAAAGGCGAGGGGTCCCCGGCGGGGTGGCTGCTGCTGGCGCCGGTGCCGTGCACACCCGGACCCCCGCATCCCCCCTGCGTGGGGCTGGGAGCGGGTACGGGGCACCCGAGGCACGGAACAAAGGAGCACGTCAGTGGTGTGGGGCGAGGGCAGCCCAGCCCTGCTGCACCGGGGCCATCTGTCACATCCCTGGGGTGATGCTGAGCCCGGCAGTGGTGCTGCATCCCCAGGGATGCGTGGGGTTGGGACTGGTGAGCACGGAAGAGCCCTTCCTGCCCAGGAGCTCCAGCATTAGCTGCCTGCGAGCCACCCTCACTGCCTGCTGAGCACCACATCCCAATATTCCTGCACTTTAGGAGGCTTGGGGTGAGTTAGCTCTTATTCCCTCCATGACTGCTGGATAGAGAACCACAGAACCCCAGACTGGTTTGGGTTAGAATGGACCTCAAAGCTCACCCAGCTCCAACCCCTGCCACAGGCAGGGACCCCTTCCACTGGAGCAGCTTGCTCCAAGCCCCTGTGTCCAACCTGGCCTTGAGCACTGCCAGGGATGGGGCAGCCACAGCTTCTCTGGGCACCCTGTGCCAGCGCCTCAGCACCCTCACAGATCCCATCTCAATCCACTTTTATCCCTCTCTGTGGGCCAGGGACAAGCTCCTCAGCCACGCGGGGCCCCGGCAGGGCCCGTACCTGGCAGCCCAGGTGATGGGGATGCGGTGGGTGGCGTAGACGGTGAAGGCGAGCGGGCAGGAGAGCAGGCGAGCCTCCCGCGCCGCGCCGTGCTCCCGGCTGCCCTGCACCGCCGGCTGGAAGTCCGCGTTGAAGGTGCTGCAGTAGAGCTCCACCAGGTTGAGGATGGCGGCCGTCAGGCTCTCCACGATCCTCTCTGCAGGGTGACACGGGGGGTGTGGGCTGGTGGCCCCCCTGCCGCCCCCCACTGCATCCCGTTGGGCTGGGGTCGGGATGCAGGAGGGACCCTGGGCAGGCTCCCCAGCACAATGCAGTTTGAGAGGGAGAATCCAGGCTCCCCGTTTTGCTGGGCTCACAGAACAACCTCCACTACCTCCAGAAACCCTCTTTCCTTAAACCCAAACCCTCTGGCCTCACTAACTGAGGGGGAAGGGGGTTGAAGATTAAAAGCACCGAGGACTTGAGCCCAGAAGGAGGGGAGGAGAACACAAATACCTCGATTTTCCCTCTTGGCCAGAACACTTGGATCCTGTTGAGGAAAAAAGAGAAACCACGGGAGCAGCATGAGAGGGCGCCCGGGGGGAGCCGCTCCCCAGCCAGAGCCCTGTAACCAGACCCTGCCTGGGCAGGCAGCGGGGCGGCAGCGCCTGCCCCCAGCTCTTGAGGAATTTTCCATGTGGTGCTGGGAACGGGGCCCGGTGTGGGAACGGCCTCCCACGGGCGGGAAGTGCCCACCTCTCACCTTCTGGATCTTGGGCTGCATGCGGGAAGGGCAGGGGGGCATCTGGTTGAGGGCTGCTGTGATCTCCTGGGATTCCACGGCAGCCAGGGCATTGCAGATGGCCATGACCGACTGGATCACCCGTTCTGCCTTCAGCGGGAAGTCTCCCTATGGAGGGCAAAGCGGGGGTGAGGCAGGGCCTGCAGCAGCCAAGGGGAAGGTGAACCAGTCTGTGCCTGTTCCCCCTATTGCCATGGCTTTACCCTTCCCTGGTGCACCCTTAGAGCCCCATAACAAAAAGGGGAAAGAGACTGCAGTGAATGAGGGAAGGTGGCCCCCAAAATGCCCCCTTGGTCCCTGCTGCTCACCTCAGCTGCCAGGAAAGCATCCACCTCGTTGTGGAAGGTGTCAAAGAGGAGGCTCAGCGCCTGCCTAGAGGGCAGAGAGCAAAGCTGAGCCCTGGCCAAGCAGGCACACAGCACAGGGGACCGGTCCTGTCCCCCCTACCTGCTGATGGTCTGTTTGATGGGCCTCTCCTGCAGGTGGATGTAGTGGTTGAGGGTGGACGGGCTCTGGTCATCACTTGCCTGGAGATGGAGAGAGTGCGTTCGCCATTCCCGGGTGCTCCTGCAGCAGGGAGATGCCAGGGGCACCCCTGCTCTGCTCCCCACACCGGGGGGGAGAGGGGGCACCCACCGTCCGGGCCAGGTCGCTGCGCAGCCCCTTCCTCTTCATCAGCTGCAGGTTGATGTCCATGTCGAACTTCCTGCAGTGCTGGATGTACTCGTGGCTGCCCAGCGCGTGCTTGCTGCAGGGACAGAGCCCTCCCGGTGAGCACAGAGCCCCTCTCCATCCCCTGGGATGCCCCAACACCCAACCTGGGATCCCTCATCCCAACACCCTTCAGCCGGGCAGCGTTGGCTGGGCTCCGCCTGGCCGCAAAGGGATGTTTGTGCCACCGGGTAGCTTGTGCTAGGAAACGTGAAGAATAAGCTATTGTTTTCCCTCTTTCCCTTGTGCCCTCCAAAAAGCCGGCACAATGGAGCTGGGAGAGGGTGCGGGGGAGCCCATCCTGCCAGGACCTGCCCATGGATGTGTGGGAAGTGAGTGTGGACCCAAGCAGCTGGAGGATGCTCTGCCTGCATCAGCCTGGTCCCACCATGCCCACCAGCACGGGAAGCCCTCCTGGAGCTGATCCAGCCCTGGTGCAGCAGAGCCATGGCAAGGTGCTGAGGGGGTAGAGGAGCTCCAGGCAGGATAGAGCTGCAATGGCAAGAGGTGGTGGAAGGGCTGGGAAAGGCACCCTTGGGACTGGCATCCTGCACCCCCTGCACCTTGCCAAAGCGAAGGGGGAGCAGCTCAGGGTGGTATGCAGAGCTCAAGTGCCCGACGGCTCCACAGGGAGAGGTCTGGCACCCCCAGCATCAACTCAGCTACAGGAGGATGTGGAAAGAAAAGATTGGTGGCAACAGGGATTTCTGTCCCAGGCCTTTCCCAAAGCCCCTTCGAGATCAGCAGCAGTGGGGGAACGCTCGCCAGGGCCCGTGCCCAGGGTGCTGCTCCCAGCCAGAGTCAGGATGTTCATCCCTTTGGGAAACACCCCCCAAGCTGCCTGGATCCGTCCCGCAGGGGGGCACTCCCGATGGGAACACCCCCTTCATGCCGCTGTGCCGGGTCCAGAGGCAGGAGCTGGCTCCCTGCGCCCTCTGCACGGGCTCTCCCAGGCTGGGCCGTTCCCAGCCGCCCCTTTAGGGCCTAACCCAGCAGCTCCTGGAGCCCATGGCAAAGCTCCCACAGCTTTCCCATGGCCCGGCCAGGCCCATGGCAGCGCTCCAGCAGCAGGGGCTGGCTCACACATGCCTCGCACACAGGGCTCCTGCACCTTCCTCTGCAGAGCAATCCCGAGCTGCAGACCCCCAAATCCCTATGCAAATGCAGCCTTCGGGCAGGACAGGCAGCAAGGGAGGGGGGGATCTGTGCGGGTCTCCCTCCCCATCACCGCAGCCCTCATGCTCTGTGCCCTCACACTGCTCCCGACACGTCTCTTTTCCACCTCTGCCTCTAATTCCCACAGGAACATGGAAAAGCCGGGCTCTGCCGCTCTGACCATGACGTGGCTGCTCTTAATGCTTCTCCAAAGAGCTTGTTTGGCAGTTCCCCAGTTTTCAGGCCCTTCTCAAGGGGCACGGGGATCAGTGTGATGGGATGCCACTGGGAGAGATGCTCCCACAACACACCGGAGCATCACCATGGCTTGGATCAGCCCTGGCCATCCATCACACCCTGCTGCGGCTACACACGGGCCAAGCAGAGCCAAGTGTGAGCCCAGGGATGCTGGGGGTGTGCAGTGTGCCCCCCCCACACTCACTTCTGCAGGAACTCCTCCAAGCCGCAGATCTTGAGCACGAAGTCCTCGACATCGACGCTGTGCAGCTCGTCGTGCGTGTAGCACAGCGCCTGGTAGATGAGCAGGTCCACGGTGGAGGAGCCTGCGGGGAGGAGCAGCAGCACCGTGGGACCCCCCCTCAGCCTTCAGCCGGGGGTTTGGGGCTCGCTGCAAGGGGGGGCACAAGGGGTGCTCACAGTCGCAGGTGAAGGTGAGGGGCTCCCGCAGGCTGTCACACACCACTGTCACCTTCAGGCTCACGCCATGGCCGAGCTGCTCGGGGCTGAGGTTCACAGCGCTCCACACCAGGCCCGTCAGGGAATAGTCCTTGGTGCTGTAGCTGGAGCGCAGCCTGGCGAGGCAGGGACGGGTCAGGGGTGCTGCCCTGCTTTGGGGCTCACCCGGCCCCCCCAAGCACCCCGGTTGTGGGGCGCTCTGCAGCAGGAGGCCCCAGCCCCATGCGGGTACTCACACATCCAGCATGTGGCAGAACGCAGCCACCTCCTCGTCCCGCTCCTCCGAGACCTCGAAGAGCTCGTAGCCATTGGCGAAGGAGTGCGGCCGGGGGGCAACCTGCGGGGCAGAGCATGAGCCAGTGACCCGGCTGCAGTGTCCTTGGGGGGCTCCAGCCCATTGCCCCACGGTTACAGCTCCCTGCTACAGCACCGGGCACCCAGAGCCTGTGTGCATGTGGTGATGCTGCGGCTGGAGGAGGGCAGTGCTGGGGACACGTGGTGGAGACAGGACAAGGGCTGCTGGGTTCAGACTGGAACAGGGGACGTTCACCTTGGGGATAAGGCAGGAGCTCTGCCCTGTGAGGGTGCTGAGAAGCTGTGGCTGCCCCATCCCTGGCAGAGCCCTGCCCATGCCCATGCCCATGCCCATGCCCATGCCCATGCCCTGCTGCTGCGATGCTGGGGCAGGATCCCGCACACGGGGGTCCCTGGGCCTCCATCGCCCTTCCTCAGTGAACAATGGCCCTGCTGTCAGACATGAACCCAGCAGTGGGGGGGCAGAGCAGCCCCTAAGGAAGGGGTTAATGCTCTTTGTCAACGAGCCCCTGGCACTGTGAGTGCCCTGCACAGCCCCCCCGGCCCCAGCGCATCCCCGCTCCCCGGGGACAGGGAGGTGACCTCGGCCCTCATTGATGCCCTCCCCTTGCTGGGGGCAGGATGAGCGGTGCCAGAGCCAGCAGCAGGCACCCGGCAGCCCCCAGGAGGGGCAGCGGCAGCCCCAGCGCCTTGGGGACGCATCCTGCCGGTGCCTGGGGGGGACAAGGGGAGCTGGGCTCAGGGAGGCCGCTGCGAGCCCAGCAGGAAAGCGATGGCCTGGCTCGGGGGAGGAGACCCCCGGCTGTTCCCAGAGGATGTGGGGAGCCTCAACACGAGCCTGCTGTGAGCCCCCCGCAGCACAGCCCGAGGCAGCGGCTCCTGCGCCCTGGAGCACGCTCATGTCCTCGGCTTCCCGGCCCTGGATCACCCTCCCGGAGGGCTCTGCACCATCCTGCACCCCTTGGGGACCTGCACAACCTGGGCAGGGCTCATTGAGCCCCAGGGACGGCGTATCAGAACATGGCTGCCTCTGACCAGGGCTCATTGAGCCCCAGGGACGGTGTCTCAGGACATGGCTGCCTCTGACCAGGGCTCATTGAGCCCCAGGGATGGTGTCTCAGGACATGGCTGCCTCTGACCAGGGTGCAAACACCACTGAGGAGCCCCAGGGATGGGGCAAAGGAAACCAACCCTGAGCAAAGGAAACGCAGCGAACGCACGGCCCCATTGGCAACCTCCCTGCTCTGCCACTGCCCCAGCTCCAGCCCAGCCCCACACCAGGAAGACAAAAGCCTCTCACCGGCTCGCTGGAGACCCTGCGGTTCTTGTTGGGCGCCAGGTTCTTCCTGCTGCCGAAGCGGGGAGCGTACGTCCGCGGGGGCACCTGCGGGGGCATGGTCTTGCTGCGCGCCACCGGCTTCCCGCTCAGCTCCTTCTCAAAGATGCCCCTGCCCTCCTTCCAGCCGCGGGCGGCCTCCCGCAGCACCTCCGACTCGTAGGTGGCCTTGAGGTTGAGGCAGGTGATGGCATCGCTGATGCCGTACGGGTCCTCCTCCGAGATGCGGCGCCCGAGCAGCTTCCCGTGCGCGCGCTCCTGCACCGCCGAGAACGTGTTGATGTCTCTGGGCTGCGGTCCCTTGGTGGAGGGCGGGGGGGACCCCTTCCCTGAGCGCTGGGTGCCCTCGGGGGAGCTCCACAGCAGGTGCCGGGGGGGCAGAGGCGGCGGCGAGAGCTGTTTTGGGGAGGTGCCGCTGTGGGGCTCGGTGCCGTTGAGGGGCTCCCCGAGGAAGTCCCCCCCCGTTCCCTCCAGGATGTACAGGTACTCCCCAGCCAGGGGCCCCTTCAGCCAGGGCTGCGGGTCCAGCGGGGGGGGGCTGGGGCCGGCGGGGGGCGCTCCGGGCACGGGGGCACCGTCGGGTACCAGGGGGACGTTGTAGCTGAGCAGGGGGTCGGAGCCGGAGAGGCCCCGCGCTGCCTTGATGCCAGCGCAGCCGCTCCTGTCCGCGGGCTCGTCCCAGGAGATGAGGGGCTGGTCCCCGCGCTGCCGGGCCCGGCTCTCCTCCTTGTCCTGCCGCAGGCGGGATAACGCATCGTATTCCATCTGCAGCGCCTCGGCCAGCGCCAGCTCCTTGCGGCTGATGCCCACCGACTCCAGGGACTTCCAGTGCTCCCCATTGCCGCGCGTAGAGGACATCGCTCCGGGACCTCTTCCTGCCGGCGCGGGGTCAGGAGGAAGGCATGCTGCTCCGCCGGCCACCTGGGCATGGGGAGAGGTGAGGGGTAAGCTCAGGCTCCAACTGGGAAACTGGCTTCCATGGGCACCCGCCAGGCTGGAGAGGTTCCCCTTCCCCAGCACCTCGGTCCCTGCCAGCTCCTGTGGGCTTTTCCTGGAGAAACAGGAATCCCAAGGGCTGGCAGTGCTCCTGGAGGCTGAGCAGAGAAAACGCGCTTTGAGCCCAAAAGCAACAAAACAAAACCTATTTTTGGTGGCTCACAAAGCCACAACCCCGGTCCCGTCTCCAAGAGAAGCATCGGCAGCTCGCTGAGGTCCTGACAGAGAAACAGTCCCGCCTGGCAGAGCTGGGGCTCCGTGTGTGCTGATGGGATGCAGCCAGACCCGCACCAGGGCAGCTGGGGTGTGGGAATGGGGATGGGGATGGAGATGGGGATAGGGATGGGGTTGAGGATGAAGATAGGGATGTGGATAGGAATGGGGAGGGGATGGGATTGTGGATACAGAGATAGAGATGAGGATGGGGAGGAAGGCTCAGCCTGCACCAGGCACAGCAACCCCATGGTGCCCACACCAGCCAGAGAAGAGCATCTCGAGCAGGTCGCTCAGCCCCTTCCCTCCCCAGCTGCACCAGGACAATGCAAATCCACATGGAAAAGCCCTGACCTCTCCTGGTCGCCCTCCAAGTCCTCGGCCAGGGGCAGGACCGGGGCTCAACCAGCACCTCCTGCTTCAGGGTCCTGCCCTGTTCCCACCCAACACCCATCCCATTACAAACACAACCCTGGATCGGGAGCTCCCGAGGCAGGAATTCCAGAGCCGCAGACACAAGCAGATTTTCTCCCTCTTTACAAACCCACTGCTAATAACAGCATCATTTTCTGACTTGGAATTTCCTGCCGTTTGCCACGGTCACTTCAGCCTCGGGGGACCCATCCCGCCTGGGATCCCACCCTCCATGGAGACCTCAGGAGGGAAACCCCCTTGTTCCCCGGAGCCCCTTTGCCCTAAGCCCTGAATGAGTTTACCACAATTTTCTTCCCAGTTTGCCCTATAGGGAGGCTGCAGCCTTGCAGGGACCCAGAGGGGCACATCCCTGGTGGGACCCACCAGGAGCTGCTGCTGCGTGAGGGATGTTTCCCCATCCATGCGCTGCTCGGGTGCACGGAGTCAGCCTTCCTGCAGGGATGGCCCTTGAGAATCATGGCCTGGTTTGGGTTGAAGGGACCTTAAAGCTCCTCCAGCTCCAGGGACCCCTTCCACTGGAGCAGCTTGCTCCAAGCCCCTGTGTCCAACCTGGCCTTGAGCACTGCCAGGGATGGGGCAGCCACAGCTTCTCTGGGCACCCTGTGCCAGCGCCTCAGCACCCTCACAGGGATGACCCCAGCCCTTGTGCAAAGAGATGAGCATCAGCTTGGGGGCAACTGGGGGCACTCAGCACCCAGCATCTCCTGAGATCCCACGGGATCCCACGGCAGAGCCAAGGCTGCAGCCAGGGACAGGGACAGGAGCCCAGGACAGAGCCGCAGGGACCTCCTGTGCACCCCCGGCTCCCCCCATCCCTCGCAGGCAGCTGCGCTGGGAGCAGCTCTGAGGTGTCCAAAGCATCTGGGAAGCCATCAACCACCTGAGGGCGAGGAGCAGAGCGAGCCCTGGAGAGGCAGTCCCTGCTGGGGAGCTGGGGATGGAGGTTGTGCCTCTCAGGGACACAGTTCACACCCGTTTATAGTCCCGTGGAGGGAGGAGCAGCCCAGAGGAGGATAAAGCAGCAGCCTTCACCTCGGGGCTGCGGGTCCATCCACCCATCCCACTGCTGCCCTGCAGCAGGGCTGTGCTCCCAGCACAGCAGGCAGCAGCTTCCCTGCCTTGGGGACATTGAGCACTGCATCCCTGAGGCCATCCCCCGAGGGATGCTCCGAGGTCTGCGAGGCAGAACCAGCCCCACACAGGTGGTGACATGGGGGGGACAGGCTCCCAGGGCCCCCCATCAGTGCCGGCACCACAGCCCCAGCTCCTCCAACTCCAGAGGAAACTCTCTGGTCTCAATTTGCTTCCCTTCCAAATGGGATGGAAATGGAGCATTTTCAGAGCTCCCAAGCAGCGCCATGACCAAGGAAACCCCTTTGGGTGAGCCCCGACATTCACCCTGGTTTGGAACTGGAGCTCCCAAAGGGAACCTGCTCTCAGTACTATTGGAAACTGAAACTGAAACTCAGGGAGTTTCATCCCTGGAGCCACCCTTGGCACAACCCAAACCCAACAAAACCCAGCCTCCAGAGGGGTTCAGTGTGAGTGGATCCATTCCCTCCCAGACCTGATCCCAACAGACACTCCCAGGCAGCTCTGCCTATTTCCATCCACAAGCCAAGGAACTTGTGGGAGCTTCCAAAGGGGGTCTGGAGCTGGTTCCCCCGAGCAGGGTGATGGGAAGGACCTGGAGCTCATCCCTGCCCCCCAGGATCCAGCCCCACAGCGGGGTCCCTGCAGGCTGGGTGTGAAGGACACGGCTCCTTCCATGCACCCCACAACCTCCCGCTGCCGGGGCAGGTCTGCAATGAGGACACCCCCGATCCCTGCTGTGCAGCAAAACAACACCAGGGACGCACAACATCCTGCACGCACCAGACCTTGGGAACAGCCGGAGCCGCTCACTTCCAACCTGTTGCCTTATGGCAGGAATTCCTTCCTCTTCCAGCCGGTACGTCTCCTTGTTAACAGCCCAGCCAGGCCCAGCCCGGTCCAAGCTCTCCAGGGCAGGCAGGATGTGAAGCTGAACGATGCCAAAGGCTCTTCCATCATTTTAATACGTATTTCCCCCCTCGGGAGGAAATCCTGCCCTGGGAAGAGGGGTTGGGTTTGGGATGGGAACGTCCCCGGTGTGACTGGGGGCAGCCGAAGGAGGGAGCTCTGCAGAGGCACTGCCTGGAGCTGAGCCCACCATGGGGCTGATGGAGGGGACAATGGGGTGTCCCAGCCTGGTGTAGGGGAAGGAGAGGGGACATCAGAGCCCTCCTGGGCAGCAAGGTGCGACAGCCCCGTGCTCAGCTCCATAGGAGATGCTGCACTTCACCCAGCACCTGCAAACCGATGGGGGCACAGGGAAGAGCAAGGGGGGGACCCTTCCACTGCTGCATCCCCATCACCAAGACACCCGGTGCCTCCTCCTCCCTGGCTCGTGGAGCACAGACACAGCCAGACAGGGAATGAGCCAACCCCGGCTGCTCCCGCACCCAGCATCCGCCCCCAGGGCCATGGCTCTCGGTGCTCAGCCTCCCCAGGGGATGCCAGGGGCAGGTCTGCAGCTCCGGCACTCGGCTCCTATGCAAATCTCTGCTTCCCCCGGCACCGCGGCTGCCTGCACGGCAGTGCGGGTGTGTGTGCACCCACCGGCTGCAGCCCTGCCTGCACAGCCTGCAGCAGCCCGCTGCCCTCCCTGCCTGCATCCCTGCCTGCGCTGCCCTCCCTGCCTGCACAGCCTGCATCAGCACGCTGCCCTCCCTGCCTGCATCCCTGCCTGCACCCCTGCCTGCGCTGCCCTCCCTGCCTGCATCCCTGCCTGCGCTGCCCTCCCTGCCTGCATCCCTGCCTGCGCTGCCCTCCCTGCCTGCGCTGCCCTCCCTGCCTGCATCCCTGCCTGCATCCCAGCACCCCAGGTGAGCTGCAAGGGATGGATCCTGCTGCCTGATTCCAGTCATCCCGGTGCCACACGCTCCACAGGACTCTCCCTGCCCCAGCCGCTCCTACAGCCAAGCCTCAAGATGATGGAGCCGCTGGGGTGCACCCCTCTGCCCGCAGCACGCTGTTGGGGTGCAGGGGGGTGCTGGCTGGCCCCACACCGCACGACCCAGTCTGCAATAGGAACCAAGTCCTTATGCTGCTCAGTGCTGCTGTGCCTGCAGGGTGGGAGAGAGCTGCAGCCCAAGGACACAGCAGACACAGGCCAGACACACACCTGCGCGCACCCAGCGCATGGGGAAACCCCTCACCTGGGATGGGGCCATGCATGCTGCGAGCCCCAGCATCACCGCCCCGTTGTGCCCCACAGCCGGGGTGCTGGCATGCACTGCCTGCACGTGTGTCCTTAGCACGCACCATGCACACACACACAGCACCTACTCATACCTTAGCGTGTGAGGAGGGCTGGTGCCTGGCTGCAGGGCTGCTGGCCTGGAGAAGCAGCTCTTTTTGGCTGCTTTTGGCCCATGGCAGCAGCATGGATGCTCTCCCTGCTCTGGCTTCACTTGATATTGAGGATGGTGCTCTGGAGGTGAGGTGGGGCTGGGGCCTTTGCTGGTGCCGTTAACCCAGGGGCCGGGCACCCCATTTATTTCCATCACCCCCAGCTCCCTGCTGCCCATCCCTGCGCTCTGAGAGCAAAACACTGATTTTCCCTGATCCCAGCAGTGCTGGCTCCCGCGGCCCAGACCCTGCCTGGCCTTACACAACCGAGCAGCTGCGGGCAAGCCGCTCCATCCCCTTGCTCAGGGGTAGCAGCTCCCAGACCTCCGGAGCTCACTCCTGAACACACGCGTGAGCAAGTTCAGGATGCAGAGCACGGCCCCGCAGGGGCAGCCGGAGCATCCCGGGAGCGCCCCCCCTGGCTCCGGTGCCCTGTGCTTGTCCCTGTCCGTGTCCCCGTCCCCATCCCCATCCCGCTGGGGGGTCTCTAACGCGATGGGAGCCGACAGAACGCCCCGGGCCCCCCTCCCCGCTTTGCAGATGAGGAACTTTGATGGCTCCGTTCCATTGTTCTGCGCATAAATCACCCCACTTCCCTCCCCCCCCCCCCCCCCCCGGGCCGGGTCAGGAGCGCGGGGTCCGGCCCCGGGGGTGCCGCTCCCGGTTCCTCCCTATCCCCCCGCCCAGCGCCGCCCCAGTGCTGTGGGGGGCTCCGGAGCGCCGGGACTGTGCTGGAGCCTGGGGTGGCGCTGCCCAGCTGCCCCCGGGGGGGTGGTGTGAAATCACGGCTCTCGGTACCGGCCCGCTCCGGTGTCTCCATCGCGGTTACCATTGTGCAAAGGGGGAGCCGCGGTGGGAGCACGGGGGGGGCCCCTCCGGGCCGCTCCCCCCCCCCCCCCCCCCGCCCCGCCGCTGTGCGTGTGCCCCGGTCCCCGCAGCCCTACCTGCTCCGAGCGGGCGGCGGCGGCGGGGCCGGGCCGGGCTGGGGCCGCGCCGCGGCGGCGGCGCGAGGAGGAGGAGGAGGAGGAGGAGGAAGGAGGAGGAGGGAGCGCGGCGGACAATGGCGGGGCGCAGCGCGGCGCGGGGCCATCTCCCGGCGGGCCGCAGCATTGCACGGAGCGGGGTCCCCCCCGTGCGTGCCCGCGGGGCTCCGGCTCTCCCCACAGCGGAGCTCGCTGTGCCCCGCTGCGCTGCTGGGGCAGCCGGGAGACCCCCGGCTGCTGGGGACGTGCTCCCCCGGCGGCAGCCAGCCCCCGGGGCACGCGGTGGGCAGCGGTGGATGTGGTGTGCTCCTGCGGTTTGGGCTGAGCTGTGGCCGAGTGTAATTCCAGCCTCCCTGCTTCCCTGGAAATCCCTCACCAGGAGGTGGAGAGAGGTTGTGGTGGGATTCACGGTGCCATGCAGGGAGCTGGGACCTGGGGGGTCCCCTCGTGCAGGTGGGCACCTCCAGGCCCTGATGGAAGAACGACCCCAACCAGCACCACAACAGCTTGTGAAACCACGTGGGAACCATGGAGCTGAGCTGGGGGGCTGCAGAAATCACACCCCAGTGTCCACTGTCCAGGGCAGATTATTCCTTGTCCTCCTCAAACCTTGCCTAACCCCCTCCAGAACAGCCATCCCCACTGCACCCCGCTTTGCTCTGGGGGAAAAGGCAGATGGAGCCAGGGGTGTCAGTGAGGACTCCCATCAGCCCACCCCACACCTCCATCAGGGACCAAGAAGGGAAATATCCCTTGCTGGGTTATTGGCACCCCGAGCTGTGCCATCACCGTGGCATCGGTGACTTGGATGGAGAGTGTCCGAAGGAACGTGGGCTCCAGGAGGGTGCAGGCAGGAAAAGGCAGGCAGAAGGGTGAAGGCAGCCATGGAGCGCATGGGCAGCGGGATGTACAGGCAGAGGAGACGTCATCCTCAGAGCCCGGATAGCTCAGTCGGTAGAGCATCAGACTTTTAATCTGAGGGTCCAGGGTTCAAGTCCCTGTTCGGGCGATTGCTTTTCGTTAGGTTTTATTTTTTTCCCTTCCCTTTGCAATAATTTTCCCCTCCTCAAAACCCTTTTTCCCCGCGGCAGAGGCGGCTCCCCCCGCCCGTGGGTCCCGGGCAGCGCCGGAGGGGGGATAAAAATATAAACCCACAATAAAAAAACAGGAGGTGAAGAAAAGCATGCCGCCCGAACAGGGACTTGAACCCTGGACCCTCAGATTAAAAGTCTGATGCTCTACCGACTGAGCTATCCGGGCTCTGACAACGCTCCCTATGGCCCGCTGTTATCACTGCGCGCGGGGGCGGGGCTCGTACCCAGCCGAAGGAGGAGCGCGGGGATGCTCGTACCGGGCCAAGGGGGCTCGTACCGGCCCGGGCGGGGCGGCTCCGGCCGTAGTCCCACGGCTCCGGAGCCGGGTTGGCGGGGGGACGCGCACCGCTCGGTCCTCCACGGCGGGGATGGCGGGCGCGCTCCCGGCCCGGGCTCTCCGTCCTCTCTAGGGGTGACTTCCGTTGCGCTCTATGGCGCGGCGGCGCGGGCCCGGTGCCCCGCGGAAGCGCCGTCGCAGCCATGTTGGCTGTGAGGGGAAGCGGCGCCAGAGGCCGCGCTAAGATGGTGGAGAGGAGCCCCCGGGGGGTGTAGGGGCCCCGTCCCCCCCCCCGCCTCCCACCGGCCCCGGGCTGCGGCCGGCCTGGTGCCCATGGAGCAGCTGTAGGGTGAGGCCGCCTCGGGGGAACGGCGCTGGGGCGCGGGGAGGGCGCTGCGAGGTGAGAGGATGCGGGGCCGGAGCGCAGCGGGGCCCCCGCTGCTGGCGCCCGAGGGGCGGACGGGAGCTCCCGGGCCGGGATGCGCATTTCTGCGTCCAAACTGGCTTCATGGGCAGAAACCACCCCGAGAGATACCGGTGCTAACGGCAAGAGCCGGACCCGCCCTTGCACTGGAGAAACCGCATCTCGGCAGCAGCAGCCGGCGGCCCGGTTGTGCTGGGGGCTCGCTGTGATCGCGCGGCCACTGCCCATCAGAAACGGGCTCCTGAGCTTCGAGCGCTGCCCAGTTCTGCTCCTGCTGAACGCTTTGTGTTATCTGTTGAGCTTACGTTAAGGCTTACTGTTGTCTGACAGCTCTTGGCTTGCAGTTAGTTGGTGCTTACACAGTTGTTCCACTAAGAAAAGGAGACAAGTGGCTTTGCATTACTGCAAGGCCCCATGGAGCGGAACCGGGACCAGGCAGCACTTGCTGGGGGGGCATCATGCGGCTCTCAGAGGACGTGTATGGACTTGCTGGGAACCCAGGGATGGGAGCAGGTGAAACCTGTGGCCCTGGCAGCACTGTGACATCACTGCTGGAGTAAGGGGGGAGAAATGGGGTTTCTAGCACTGGCCGGGTGAGATGGGTGGGCAGGAGGACTTGTGAGCATGAAGAAGCCCAGGGACTGACACCGAGAGGAACCAACCTCATTAGCTCTGAGCTGCCTCGTGAGCTGGTTGGTTAAAGCCTCCCTCCTGCGTGGTGCAGTACATGGGACAGCAGCCTTGTCCTCAACAGACATTTTGCTTTATTTGAAAGCATGAAAAAGGATGAAGGACAAAACCATCGGACCTTAACCCAGAGTGAGCCACCAGAGGCCACAGATACAAGTAATGTCTAGTTTACACTCCCTGTGTTCACTGTGCATCACAACCTGTGGTCTAGTGGGGTTTTGATCTCTGAAGAGACAGCTCACACACCAGGCAGATGACTTGTCCATGTGGCGAGCATGACCATATAAAGTGCTTGGGTGGGAGAAACGGTTGGTTCATGACTCCTTGGTGATTCACAGCTTCCTCAGAGTCATTGCTCTGCTCCAGCATCCATTTTCTTATAGATGCAGCTCCGTGTGTAGAGGGGAAGAGCAGCAAATTCACCGGAGCTGTGTTCACTTGGCTGCAAGTGAGTTCGGGTGCTTCCAGGCTGAGGGGAGGTAATGACAGGAGGCAAGGCACGAGTTTCCTTTCTCTAATAAACCCAGTACTGAAACAGTTAAAGTGATCTTGAGTTGACTCCCTCAGGCAGGGGTAGCAGTCCCTTTCCCCCAAGGCAGGGCAGGGAAAGCCACTGCTTTCTCCCATTTGCCTGCTTTTCACACCAGCTCAAGCTCTTAGCAGCAGCTGATGAGTTCAGTGACTCCCCAGCAGTTAGAGGCAGGAGCAGTTTGAGCCTGGAGGAGCTGAGCCAGGCAAGGCAGAGCTTCTCCAGCACTGCAGGGGAGCAGCAGGCCCATCCTCGTGCTCCTCCTGCCAGCAGAGTTCAGCGTTGGTGAGTTGGGCTCTGGCTGGTGCAAAGTACAGCTCAGCTGGCACAGCACAGAGGGTCCTGTGGGCAGCTCGTGGTGCTGTGTGCTTGGCGTTATCAACTAGAAACCTTGGTTAAAAGGTAAGGCACTGGTAGCATGGGAGTAATTTTAGCTGCTATGTCACTTATTTTGGGTTATTACCTGGATCAATGTCATTTTTCAAACTTGAACATGCTTTAATTAAGCTTTCCTAAATATTTAGATCTGCTTGATCTTTGGGAGTGATTTTATTCCTGCTACTGCCATACTTCAGAGAAATGTAATGCTGTAAGAACTATCAGCAGCTTCTAACAAACTCATTGCAACTCGGTTTTAATTGCTGGGGCAGGTGAGCCATGAGGTTGGGTGGTTACCAGTGCTCAGTAGCTTGAGTCGGTGCCAGAGCTCAGGACTGTATCATTGCCTACTATGTACACTGCCTGTTCAGCCTGTTTAGTCTACATGGAGATACTTAGTTACATTCCTCAGGCAGAAGTCTGGTTATTTTGCAAGCATTCACTTTTTAATGTAGCTGCTCATCCTGGCTCCCGTTCCTTGTAGTTAATGCAAGAACAGACTCATTTACTGCAGCTGGGAAATTCTGTGAAAGAATTTAGATGCTGCATTGAAAGCTGTTACCTTCAGATTTGAACTCCTGCAGTGGTTGAAAGTCGGTACTGCTTCCCAAAAAAAGCTTTCCCAAAGTTGTATCTGTATAAGCAAATTCAGGAGCCGCTCTTCAGTTTATCACATGCTCCAGCCTTAAGCTCACCAAAGGGTTTCTTGATGTTGTCCTGCAGAAGAGCAACCAGGTTCGCACTGAAATGGAGATTTTCTTGTAACCGAGTTACTTTTTGCAGTGGCTGCTTAACTGACACCGTCCTTTAAGCATAAAGAAGTTTTCAAAGGTGGTGTGTGGGGTGGAGCAAACTGGATCGGGCTGTGAACATGAGTCATTACTGATCATTCTGCATGTGAAGCTGTGCTCCCTGGGTGGTGCTGAAACTGATAGGGCTTGACACATTCAAATAGCTGCAGGACTTCCCCTTTTGTTCCTTCCAGGAAATGATCCTTTCACCTGCTCAAACTGCTGGTTTAGAGCCTGCATCGGGGCATTTGGGATGGAGGCTGCTGCTGCAGCAGCTTTTGGCAGGTTTTCAGCCCTTGGCAAGGACAAGTGGGGAATGTGTTGATTGCTGCAGTCTGCACTGACCACTCCTTTGGGCAATCAGGGGGTTGCTGTCTGGTGATTTGAAATCTGAAGGTTTCCCTTGTGGCTGATTGTGACTCAGCTTCTACTCCCCCACCTCTTGACTGCAGGATTTCACCACATTAGGAGTTTGCCAAGAGCCTGGTGGAGACTGGCAGTTCCCTTCAGCTGGCAGGTCCCCAAGTTCCTCACCATGTTGTGCTGCTGCTCCTTCAGATGGGCAGAGCCAAACCATCGTCAGTGCCACAGGAAATGGGTCACAGTTATTTCCTCATGGCTGTCCAGCACTGGGCAGCTGGATGCAGCTTGGCTAAGGCAAAGCAGATCCAGTTTCAACAGAGCACGTTAGGGGCACAGAAACATTAGCGTTATATAGCAGCCATTTAAGAGATGCATGCTGGGCTAATTTTAAACTCATTTCCTGAAGCTTCTAAGAAGTGGAAGTGGTTGAACTCAAGAGCAGGTTACTGGTACATGAACGTTCCTCTCATTTATAGGTCTCTGCTCTAAATAGCTCATCCCTGCCACGATGACATCTCCAAGCTCTGCCCAGCATCCAGCAGCTGAGAATAACTGCAGAATAGCATTTGGACAAGCTAACCAGGTAATTTCCTCTCCCACTTACTCTCACTGCTTTCTCCTTGCTAAAGCAGCAATTCCTTCCATCACATTCAACCTCTTTGGGTACATTTAAGTTAGAAGAACTTAGCTTAATGGAGTAGGGCTTTTATTCTGAGGAGCTGTGTTACTCTTGCTATCAGACCAATGATTTATGAACATTAAAGGGGAAGGAGCGGAAAACTGCACTTCAAATTGGCCAGAGGAGAAACTGTATAATGCATATTTTTGTGCTGGATCTGTACTTGAAGTATCCTACATGCAGCGTCCCCCTTAATGCTGGGTTCTGTGTGACAGTTGTAGCGGGGCTGTGTAACCTTGCTTGCTGACCTTTTGTCTAGTCAGTAATGCCTGCTTTGTAGTACTCCTCTTATTGACTATTCCTGGAACTTCCCTGGAACAAAAGGTAGTTGTATCCCTGAGCCAAGGTCACCATGATAGGTGTGTCTCAATACCACGTTGACAGCCAGTCAGAAAAGAGAAACATGCAAATAACAGGAAAAATGTCATCTAAAATGCTTCTCCAGGACAGGCATCCAACCTTCCAGAGCCAATTCATTGTACAAACCATCTCCACAACATGAAGGGATGTGGCAGGAGTGGAAATAAGCTGATGGGAAGCAGAGAGCCTCCCATTTGAAGCTTAATTTAGAAGCTTTGAAACATAGCCAAGTCAGATATGCTTATTTAGGCAATTCACTCTGCATACAAAAAGTAAATAGGCTCTGATATTAGTAGCAAAATATTGATTGCCACCACTCAGTGTCCCAGGCAGTGTGGATTAAACACTTCCATTTTGGCTTTACTGTGGTAGCTAAGGGCTCATTTTAAAATGAGCAAGCTAACTAGGTTGCTTCTTTAATCAGAAAGAGATGTACAAGAAGTTACTTCAAATCCATTTGAGAGTGGTCATTAGAGAAATGAATGAGTGCAAACACATAATTTCCTCTTATTAAAATCATGTGCTGAAACAAGCACTTGAGCTGTGCTGAGCTTTTTCCTAGAGAAGAGCTGCTCTTGAGAAAGAGACTTGGGGCTGGACATGAGCTGTTCTGTTTGAGCTTGAAAATGCATTTAGTAAGTACAATAAGGAGAAAACAGGCAAAGCAGACATATTCACATTTCAGAAAACAGAAACATTTTGCAAACACCATCTGAGAGCCAAGCGATAAACTACATTGACACCAAGCAACCAACCCCCACTCTCCTTACCTTGTGCAGGAGCATGGGGCTGCAGCTCAGGCTGTCTCTCAAGGACATGGAGGACCACAAGCAGGCTCTGCTCCTGGGGGAAGGAAGTTGGGCTTACCATTGCGTTTATATAGGCAGAAAAAGAGGAGTGGGTGTGAGACACAAGTGAATCCACCTAACACTGATGGGTGAGGGCTTCACAGCTGGTACAGATGACATGCCTTGAGAGGGTAAACCTGCTCAAAGTGCAGAGGAAACAGCAATGAACATGGTGTGCTGAGGACTGGGCTTTCTGTCCTGAGACAGATTGGTATGTCTTCCTGCACTAGCATCTGATAGACAAGGAGAACAAAAGAGGTTCAGCGTGGGAAGCATCCCTTAGTGTATAACATTGTATGCAGCTGTGTAGTGTTCAAAGAACAGTGGGCACACAGAGCACAGGATCGTGTGGTGGCACTCTCCTAGGAATTGTTAGAATTCTTGTGGAATAAATGAAGTAGCAGGATGGGGGGGAGTGAGAAGCTATTTAAAACTTGGTGCTGTTTTATATAGCATCATTTGCTCCTCGGAGCTGCTTGGGGGTGTGGGTGAAAGCTAAAGGGCTTGTGGAACAGTTGCATCGTTCTCAGGGTGCTTTCTGTTTTATGGAATGAAAGATTCTGCTTTATGACTGAGCTGCACAGAAAATGCAGGTTCTCATTCTTGGTGTTCATTAACCACACCTTCTGCTTGATTCACTCTTATTATTATGTGCCTGTTCATGGAGCCTAATAAATACATAGGTCTGTACCGAGCAGATCTCATTTATTCACTGCATTAATTGAGGAAATTCAGGCACACTGCTCTGGAAGTGGCAGTGTGAATGCACCATCCTTGCTCCTGAGTAGATGACTCACTACATTTGGTTAGTCACTGCTCAGGACTCCATACATACCAAGGATCTGAATTTCCAGTCTTCCCTCCCAGGATGAACGACATCAAAGTTAATGGGACAATGTGAGTGATTAAAGCCTTTAGAGCTGGCTGTCTATGCAGATTCCTTGTGAAAACGAATCCCAGCCTTCAGCAGGTTAGCCTGAGGCAAGCAGTGCTTCCCACGACCTCCACCTCATCCCTGGCTTGTCAGCTCTGTGCTTGCTGTGTCTTGGTCACTTGAGTTTGCTGGCTGTGACACCAGGCACACGTGTCAGGGGGCTTCGTCTCACTGCTTTGGGTCATTCAAACCAAGTTCTGTGGTTTATTCTTTCAGGTGCGGCCCAGACTGCCACTTCTGAAGATTCTGCAGGCTGCAGGCGCCCAGGGAGAAACCTTCACACTGAAGGAGGTGGGCTCAGCTTCGAGGCACTGGCAGTGTGCCCTTCCTTGGTTGTTTGGCGATGGCTCTTTGTGGGGAAGGGGTGGGACTGGCTGCTTTCAGTACTCTGAAGCCCTGTCTGCAAAACCAGGGATCCCTTACCCATAGGGCTGATCATAAATGGCTTTGAGAGCCCCTGGAGGAACTGGAATAGAAGAAAATGATTTATCCTGGAAAAACTGTCTTTAGAGAAAGCAGGGATGGGATAGCCACATCCCTGAGGGAGCGCAGGAGATGCTGTTCAATTGTCTTGCCCTCTGCTCAGTGCATGAAAGCCTCAGGAACTGGATTCCTGTTGACATTTTTCTTCCAACTTTCCTTTGAAATGGCCTGTCAGCTAAACCTCAGAGAATTCATTTCTTTTCAGCTTAAAATGCAATATGTGTACAAGATTAAAACCATGACACTGTGATTTACAAGAGTATCCTGTCTGCAAAGAATTAAATGCACAGGGGTTTCATTATAAATGTGTCAGATATTCCTGCAGAGCCCCATGGCTTAGTTTAAATACTTAAAGGCATTGAAATAACTTACTTAGTTCCTAAAAAACTTTGCAAAACCAAATTGAATGGTTTAAATGGGGAGAGTTGAGTAATAAATGCAGGTTACTTGTATAAATTCATGTTTTAACTTGGTTAAGTCTGATCTATTGTAGCTGGCAGCGTCCCCTGGCTCTCAGAGGATGTTCCCTCTCCATCCTTCTTTGTGATACCAATGCACTGATTGATTTTTCTTTCTTGTCAAGTGTTAATAGTTACAAACCTTACAGCAATACAGTAAAGCATAGCTCCCCCTTGGTTGGGAGACACCAACAACTTGCAGATGTGCGTAAAAAGCAGGTACAGTTTGACTCACACTCTCTATAGGGTAGCAGGATACAAGTATCAGAAACTAAAGCAAATGTACAGGGTCTTTTGTAGTTTGGTTTCAGCTGCAGATAGGGCTAAAAGTACGTTATGTGTCCACAGGTTATGCATTACCTAGGACAGTATATCATGGTGAGGCAGCTATATGACAAAAGGCAGCAACACATGGTCTACTGTGGAGGAGATCAGCTGGGAGAACTGCTGGGACTGGAGAGCTTCTCTGTGAAAGATCCAAGGTAGGAAAAAGTCACCTTTGTAATGTTGTATTACAGAGGTTGTGGTGATAGGAAACTCTTGTCACTGTTGCTGTTCATCATTGGATAAACCTTGTGAGTACCAAGTACCCTGCTCAGTGGCTTATTGATAATGCTCTTGACAAGTTTGAGTTGAGCTCCTTTGTTATCAAGAGCCTGTTCTGAATGGTGCAGGCAGTGAGCTGCTGAAGGTGACATCTTTTCCCCCTTTTATTTCTGCATCCTCTCAGGCCCTTGTTCTCACACATGAGTAAAAATCTGTATCCTTCGGTTAAGTTCTGAGCTAGACTTCTCTGTAGCAAGCTTTTAGGAGTGGCAAAAAAGCCCCTCTGCAGTTTCCAGTGTGTCTGGATAATAAAAGAGAGTTTCAGTCCCTGGTTGAAAAGTGGAATGCTGTTTGGGATTGTGGATGTACTCAACCGTCACCTTCTTTTCCACAGCCCAGTCTATGAGATGCTGAAACGGAACCTGACTTCTGCTGCAGTGGCAGGTAGGTTTGTCACAGTATGGGCGAGTATATTCAATGTAGTGTTGATGTAACTTGGGTAAGTAATGATATTCAGAAAAGAGAAATGTTTCTGAAGTTGAAACAAACTGCTGCTGAAGGCTTTGAGTATACAATCTCGTTGAGTCTGTCTTTTCTGTGTGTGCACCATCAGTAGCTGTGATACGACATCAGTTAACTGTTTGAGTAACGTGGCTGCCTGTGACTTCTTTCTCTCACCTCATTTTATAGTTGAATACTCTTGAGACAATATCAGAGTGCTGGAAACCCAGCCTGATTCTGCAAGCCAAAGAGGGCTGGACTTTAGTCAAACACTTGAGCCTTTAAAGGTGACTTTTATTTTCCCAGCTCATACGAGAACCCAAAACTATCTACATCAAAAACCCTTTAGTCATAAATTAAGGTTTATTCTTAATTTAATCTCAGCTGATGACTTCCTTGCAGCCAGAGCCCTTTGTATGGGTGGTAATCTTCACTGGCTAAAAAAACTTCTGATGAAACTACAAGCGTGCAGATCATGGGGGAGTTGTGGAGTTTTGTGCCTTACTTCCTGAGGTCTCTCAGCAGATAGTATGGGCTTGGTTCTTCATAAGGGCTTAGTCTGTATTTGCATATGTATACAAAAGCTTGTGCAAATTTAGAGACTGAGAAAACACAGCCCTGAAGTGCTCAGTCCTCTGCTTTGAGCCATGCATTGATACCTCTGAGGGCCCTCTCTCTGCTTATGTAGGAGAATCTTCCTAAATGGACTCTGTCTAAACACGTTACCTGCAGGATAACTGTGTGAGTGCTGTTTCCTTCACTGGTGATGCCCTGGCCTCTTTCCTACAGGCAGTGTATGTGGATCCCAGTGAAAACCTCTCCTCTGCTGCCCTGTCCCCTTCTACTTGGTGTGTGCCTGTGGCTGGGTGCGTGTGGCTGCGTGTGCAAGTGTGCTCCAGTCCTGGTGTAACTGCCTTGAAACCCGAAAAAGGAAGCACTGTTCCTTTAGGGGCAATGATCCCTGAGTTATACCACTGTGTCTGCTTGTGTGTGTGTATGTGTATGTGTGTGTGTGTGACTAAAACGAAACACTCTTGGCAGACCTTTGACAAATACATAGGTAAGATGATTCTAGGTGTTGTTTTACCTTTGTTGCAACATAGGAATAACTGGAAGTGCCATAGAGCTTGAAGAGGTCTCCATGTTCCATAATGGCTGCTTGTATTCATTAGTCAAATTAGAGCTTATGAGCACAGCATTTTGCAGGTTATCTCACCCACTTCTTTTAAGTACACTTGTAGAAAGCAAGGGACTGCAGAACATGTTGATAATAAAGAGGAAGCTCTGACAGAATGCTCTTTATCAGATGGTGTCCTTACTTGGCAAGCTTCTACTTAAGTGACTCACCTGAGGTATACTCAGGAATATCTCATACTAAGGACATTTTGTATAGTATGTGTTGGCTTGGAGAAAGGAAGCCTTCCAGTAAGTGGAGTGTTTTTCCACACAGTGTTTAAGGCTAGTTTGCATTATTGCATTATAGTTTGTCATGTTAGAAGGGTCAGTGTTCACCTCTTCTAATGCCCCTGCAGAGCCAAACCACTTATGGATGAGCCAGTTGGCTTCTGTTTTCCTTCAGGTATTAAATAATCGGTGACTGCAGCAGCTGTAGGGTGATGGAAGGGAAAACAGGGAAGCTGAACTAATGCATGGAGAGCAGAGCGTGTGAGATAGAGCCATGTCGTGTGGTTCTGTGTTCTGGTCCATTTTATGGATACTTTGAGATCCATTTTTCTGCCTATAGCAGCAGGTTTCAGTGTCAGTACTACGATTCATGACTGAATGGGACTGTGGCTGCCAGCCTGGCATTCAGCAGGGAATTTCTCTGCTGGATTAAAAGGGGATCAAGCAGGAGCTATGCTTCAGTCTTTTTTTCTCTAGCACATCATTCTGTTTAAAGGGTAGACTTCACAAGTGCAGCTCTTCTATTGTGTAGGAAGGTTTCTGGTAATGTGATTGTTCTTGCTCTTGAGGTTGGCCTTTTAATTAACTCTTGGGGCCAGCATAATCATCTGGATTAAACTGTGTTCCGGATGTGTACACAGTTACCCAGGGAAGAGCTTGCTGTAGTCTAGGAATTGTTCTTCATGCCCAGACTTTTTAGAAGTGTTTTTCAGTCTCATCCGGAGGTGCAGGAGGTGGTGTCCTCAGGTCTTTATAAAGATCTTTCTCTTCTCTGTTCACCACCTTCAGCATGGATCTGATCCAGCCTTCAGTGAGAGGTTCCCACACTCTGCTGTTGCTCTGGGTTTCTGCCTCTGTGCAGATCTTTTGCAGAAAGGCTTAGAGCTTGTGATGGCAGGACAGCCGGTAGGAAAAGGAGCAGTTTTTCACCTTGGGAAGAAGGAGGCTCTGTGAGTTTTCATCACGCATCATCTCTAAGGAGGCACACACTCTGGAATCCATAGGCTAATGCCTCTGTGTGTACCTAGCAAAGCTGGAGTAATGCCTCTCTAGGAGATGGCCAGCTCTCTCAAGGAAGAAAGAGCTCTCTGAAAGGCTTCCTTTGAGGTCTGCCAAGCCTGGCTCGTTGGTTGCTTGCTGAAGACCCTGTGTTGTGAGAATGGTTATTACCAGGGAAGGTTTTTTCTTTTGTTTTACCTGCCATCTAGATGCTGCACAGAGTCTCGCAAAGGAACAGAGCGTCGATAAGCCAAGCCAAGACCAGCTGAAGGTAAACCCACTGCCTGGTGGTTTCTTTTGTTGTACAGAGTGCCCCTTCTCTGTACCTGTGCATGGTGGACTGCCAGAACTTTGTGCTGCTTGGCTGCCAGGTCCTCACCTTCCTGAAAAGTTCTTGGGAGTCCACAGAGCAGGGACAGAGTGACCCTTCTCTGTTCTCTTCATAACAGAGTACCAGTCTCTGAGCGCGTTTCTCGGGGTGTAGCACTTCTAGTCTTCAGTTCCTCCAGCGTGCTCTGTATTTTCATGTCTTTCCCCCACTCTCCCACCCCTTCTCTGAGTAGGAATTGCCAAATAATTAAGCTTTCTAAAACGTGTGACCAAGTTTTGTGTTTAGGAGGATTGTTTTCAGAAGCTTTCAGGTAGAATCTGAAACCTAGGAAAAATCTTTGCACATTCAATATATCTGGGTATATTGTGGGATTCACTGGGTCTGATCTGGGAGGTGTCTGTTCACACTGGGGCCAGAGAATCAGAAAAGATCATGGTGTTACTGCATTAAGATGGCAGCTTTTGAACTTTTGCCATTCTTAAGGTTTTTCCTAGGTTGCAAGTGTATTGTTTGTGTTGATACAGATGCATTAGTCTTCTTAAAGGGTCAACAGTGTGTAGTTGTTCAGAAACCTTTCATAACTTCTTGGTCTTGCACTGCAGCTGGTGACTCGGAATGGAAGTGCTACATCCCCTTGTCCCTGTAAGCTCTGCTGGACTAACATGTCTTTTTTCCTTCCTTCATGCAGTTTAGCCAGCAAGAAGGTTCTGACCTTGGCATCATGGAAGGTGAAAGCAATCCTGCTGCTTTGTCTACCTCAGAGCAAAAATGTGAGCGTTACGAAGGTGAGTGCCAGCTCTTCTGCAATAACACAGTGTGTGCAGGCTCTTGTGCTGCTTCTCCAGCGGGACCCGTTGAGCTCTGCATCAGCAAAATGCTGGAAGAGGGTGCTGGGAGACTAATGAAAACCTGTTGTGGAATATAATCTTTAAAAATCAGAGGTTTATGCTAAAGACTGAGAGAACTGCAAGTGCTCGCCAGAGGGGTTTGATGATAGATGTGCATTGTAGCTGGGCTATTTGGTCTCATAAATAAACAAACACTTTGAATAAAATGGCAGGTTAAGCCCCAAAACCACATCTGTCACTAAACAGTGCCATGAAAAATCTCACAGACCTTGCTGAAGGGTGTTGTAAATGTTGGAATTATACTTGCATCCATTCATCTTCCCAAGGGACTCTGCTCTGATTACACAGAACACAGCCTGAGCAGGCTGCAGTCATTACCTGCAAACCAGTCAGGGAACTGAATAACAATGGAATGCTTTTTCTCCCCAGCTTAAGTGTAATACAGCTCCTTCATATTTAGACATTTCCTTTGTTTTAGTGTCTGGGGATTTCTTGCTGCTTCACTCATATGAATTGCTGGATGTTACGGAAGCAATTTTCCTGTTGTTCTACTTTTCTGTTCTCATGTCGTCCTCATATCAAGGAATCTAATTTGTAAAACCAAATCTTCTTTGCAAGAGTGGGTATTTCCAGATCAAATGAGAGTGGTAGATATTTTCCTGGCTGCAGGTACAAAAGAGGTAGGAACAGTCCTTCTCTGTGCCTTTGAAACTCTTGGTACTGAACAGAGATAGATTCAAGGTTATCTTGAATACAGACTGGTGAGTTTAGGATCACAGACTAAACTACATGGGCTAAAAAGGAGGCTGAAGCATGGGGTTATGGAGGATGGATTCTTGCCTTCCTGCTTCATTTGGGGCAAGTTTGAGAATTGAGGAGATCCCATCACTGGGAATTTGAACTAAATTCAGAACAGTTCTGTCTGCATCTTAACTCACTCAAGGTTCAGTGTTGACTTGGTTACAGCTCTGAAAGAAGTGGTAGTGGTTCTGTGTTGAGTCTTAAGGTAAAGCTGAGAGGACCTATACTGTTCTAGAGACACTGGGAGCACTGGGATGCTTCCATGCCTCTCACAGGCACTGGCTGTGCAGTGACTGTTGGGAGATGCATGAGTACAGATGTGTTGCAGATGTAACATCTCAGTGCGCTCACGCAAATCCCAGAGCTTGTAGAGTAACTGGTTGTAAGAAGGAGCAAGAAAGATTGCTAAAATGAGATGGGGCCCAATTTTGCTCTGCTGGTCTCTTAAATAATGTAGGTGTGGCATGACTTAGATTCTACTTGGCTCTTACAGACAAAGACTTAATAGAAAACCTCTCTAAAAGCAAGAAGCCTAAACTGGACCTAGTGTTTGAGGAATGGGATGTAGCTGGTCTTCCATGGTGGTTTTTAGGCAACCTCAGAAGCAATTACAAGTCCAGAAGTAATGGATCAACAGATATTCAGACTAACCAGGTGTGTAGCCATTTTAAATAGGTGTGCTGTGTTCTCTTCCTCTCCTCTTTTGGGTTCCAAGTAAATAAATGATTCTTGTTCTTTCTTTCCCCTTCCCCCTCCAGGATTTTCAGCCTCTCCCTTGTGTGTTCCTGTCCCAGCCTTTCATTATCAGGTGGATGGTTACCTTTAGTGCTCTGAAATAAACTAGGTGCTCTTGGGAGGCTGTGTTCAGCCCTTGGAGGTCCTTTTGCACTCTCAAGCACTGGTTGTGTGTCAGGAGTCGCCTGTCTTCTGGGTTGAAAGTTGTGCGCAGATGGTTGTAGTGTGGTGGCCAGCAGCTTATGGCTAGAAGGGGGAATCCTTTCCTTCCCAGGGGAGACTGAAGAAGCTGCCCAGGGCTGAGCAGGCTCTTAGTGAGGAAAAGGGGAGAGGTGTGATAGCTGTGGTGCTGGTACTGCTGCTGAGCTCAGAGTGGTCTCCCCTGTTTCTTTTCCAACAGGACATAGACACTGCCATTGTTTCGGATACTACTGATGACTTGTGGTTCCTTAATGAATGTCCATCGGATCAGAGCAGTGCAGCAGTCAAGGTGGAAGCAGTTGACTGCGAGGAAGTGAAAGAAGATGACCAAAAGGTACGTCTTCAAAGAGCCACAGTGCGTGGGTTCCACAGCCTGGGCTTGTTTAGTTGATCTCGTGGTACTGTGCCTGTTTTGGAGGAGGCAGACCTACAACCATGCAGAGCTGAAAGGGTGAGATTGGTTATGGGTGTTAAAAGGATTGAGTTTCTTCCATGGAAATTAGTAGGACCACTCAGGTGTGTACGTATGTGCATTTGTATGGTTCTTGTGTGCATCAGGGAGAGGTTTGAGTTGACTGCAGGCAAACATGGCTGTAAGTCAGCCTAGCAAGACTTAATAATGTTTTTGGAATAGATTCAGTATAGAAAACGGCTTTTGATTCACTTACAGAAATGACAATTATCATGGTGATGATGTATTCCTTTTAGTTTTGGTGTACAGTGCCACCATAAATAGAGAGGATTCCACCTCTTTAACAATGCTTCCACTCTTTCCAGGTGACTGAGGATATCTGTTTGCATGACTTTGAAGATTCTCAATGCTTAAGTGATGACACAGATACAGAAGCTGCTTCTGAGGTAGGCATCCTTTAGGTCAGCATTCCTTGCTTGGAGTGTGCTGCATCCTTGCTGTAGTGGTAAAAACCTCATCCTACAGCTGCTACTGGTTGTGGTAGGAAAAGCTGATTCTTGTGTGAGTTTCAAAGGCCAGCCCCCCCCAGATCAAGCCGAAAGCAGCTTCTTTATAAACTGCATTGAGGAATGTAGAGAAGTTGTCTTGACCTTTGGGATCAGAGCATCCACTTCTCATCTCACCCCATTTTGCTGAGATACTTTGTCCGTTGTCAGGAAGAGAGCCTGTGTACCTACTTCTGTAATGTCTTTGCCCTTGCAGTGCCTCTCTAAGGACAGACCACAGCTCTTTTCCCCCTTTAAATCAAGAAGGTGGGAAGAGAGAATAAGCAGTAATTACTGGATTGTCACCTCTTTCTACTACCCCATTCCTCACCTGAATTGCTTCATACTGAGGGACATAAAATCTGGATTCCTGCATATGTCCTGTTTTAATCCAAGTCTTTTCTTCCTGCCTTTTGAGGTTTTGTTGTAAGTCAGCAGTGGTGTGTCATGATGCTCTTTGCTGCTGATGGCACCCTAAGTTTTAAGCTTAATTTTCTAGTCTGTGCACCCTTGACAAGTAAAGATGTCCCTGGCATTGGACAGCTGAATCACAGCTCTGAACTTGGGCAGCTCTTGCCTTTGCTACGTGGGGTAGTCGAGTAAGCTGCTATTAGTGGTACAGATTGAGCAGATGCTAAGTGATTAGTGAGTCTGGGAAATGTATTCCTGACTGATTCCAGGAGCTCTACCCTTGAATTTAGAGTGAGATACTGAAAATTCAATAAACTGCACAGCTTGAGAACATTGTATTCTTCCAAAGTGCTGAAGGCCGGGAGGGAGGAAGGGCACATTTTAATGCTTAAGAGATCTGCATCTGTAAAATGCACAGGGGTGGCCAGATTCTCTTCAAGCTTTCGAGCTGGTGATAATCAAACCAGCAATCGCATGTTCACCACCTTATGCTTGGTATTAAATGTCCTTTTTTGATGAATCTTATTAGCTTCTTTTCCTACATAGAGGAAATGAGTTGTATGCAGGAATACTCTAACTTCTGCCGTTTTTGTCTGCCTCACTCATTCCTCAGGACTCTTGGCAATGCACCAAATGCAAGAAGTTTAACTCTCCAGGCAAACGGTACTGTTACCGCTGCTGGGCCTTGCGGAAAGACTGGTACTCAGATTGTCCCAAACTGGTTCATTCTCTTTCCCTGTCCAGCATTGATGCTATCCAAAACAACCAGGATGATGAAGGGATCGATGTCCCAGACTGCCGAAGGACTATTTCAGCTCCAGTTGGCCAACCCAAAGAGCTGTACGTGGTAGAAACCAAATCACATATAGATCCCCGCAGCTCTATTGAGTCTTTGGATTTGGCACAGGAATGTGAAAGCCAGGATTCTTTGTTGCATTTCACTGAGCATAAAAAGGAGGAGGAAATCCAGTCTTTAGAGAGTATCAAAAAATTGCTGAACCCTTGCTTCCTGTGCCATCACAGACCACGGGATGGGAATATTGTCCATGGAAGGACTGCTCATCTTGTGGCCTGTTTCAAGTGTGCAAAGATGCTGAAGAGAAAGAGATCACCTTGCCCAGTGTGCAGGAAAGACATCGAGATGGTGATCAGGATCTTTATGGGGTAGTTGTGCCAGTTCAGGCCTTCTCCCCCAAAAGACTGCACACAGGTTTCCTTGCACTCACACCAACCCTAACTTCAGAGCTCGGACAGGGAATACCAAAGAGAAGTAAGATTCAAATCTGACCAAGAGCATGGAAAAATCCTTTACATTCAGTGAAGCAGCATCCACATTTCAAATGTCCATTTAAATTAAAGCCCATGGGGAGCAGGGGGTGCCTGGCACATTGGCATCTCAACACCCCAGCTTTGAGGTCGTCTAAATGCTGTGATTTCAGCTCAGTGCTGTCACTGGGATGCTCTGTTCTGACAACTGGCTCTTGAAGAAAGCAAGTTTTGGAAAGAGTTAGAACTTTGGCTGTTGGAGTGGTGTTCTCCAGGGAGTCAAACCCTGCGCAATGCCTTTGAAGGGGGGAGTCTGCATCTGAGATACGTATATATAGATATATGCAGGGGTGGGAAAGAGGGTGGGAGGGTGGGAAAGAGGGTCCAAGCATCAGTTCTCCTCAGGGCAGTGAACAGTAAACAACCTGGCTTCTGATTCTTTTGTGTGGTTTAACGTAGGGTTGTTAGAGAAGGTGAAGGTCCTTCTGCTACCAGTCTTGAAATAAGCCCTCCCAGATTTTTAATCCATAGCTATCTCAGGTCCCAGATCAGATGGCAAAAGCATAGGCTGTTACATTTTGCTTTGATATTGGATCTTTTCATTGCTATTGATTCTTCTTTTTCCCATTTAAATCCAGGTCTATGTCACCTAGCATAGCTTTGCTGAAGCCTGTCCAGCATTAGCTCAGAATCTGTTCTGCCAGCTGGATTAACTGAGAGCTCTGTGCATGTTTGGGGATGTTCTCATAGCTCTGTGCTTACAGCACTGTTGCAGCTCCTGTCTGCCTCATCTTGTCAGATAAAAGATGCTCAATTCAGAGCATGATGTGGTTTTAAAGACAGGATATGAGCCTTTGAGGGGAAAAAAAAGGTGATTTCTGTAAAGCACTGACTGCAGCTGGTTAGTTTGTGGGCTGTGCTTGGTGTCAGTCTGAGATCACATCCTAGAGTGTGTGCTCAAATCTTTATGTTCTGCAGGGCTTTGGAGGGCCTATGTCATGCAGCAGTAGCAATAATGCCTTCACCACTCAGGTACACAGGCGTTTGCATTCAGTACAGTGCATAGAATAAACCCCGTTTCATCATCTCTAGAATTCCCTTTCTAGTCTAAGAAGCACACCTGAAGAAAGAAAAAGAGAAGGTGATGCTCATACCTTGGTGCTTCTCTAGGCTGTTCCCCTTGTCTCCACACTCCGTGCATGGGTCGAGGCCTGCAGGTCAGGGGTGCAGTGGGACACCCGGATCCTGTCCAGCAGAAGGTCCCGATGGTAAGGTTGTTTATCTGCAAAGATACCAGAGTAGGTGCTATATACAATTACTGCCTATCACTGCCAAAAGTCAGATCCACTTCATGTTTTGAATGGTGGTGTGATGATTTCTCTGTTGGCTGTACTTTAGACTTGTTGGCTGTTATTTACAGTTGTGTTTTAACTGTTGGAGGATACCTGGTGTTTAGGTGTGCTATCTGTAAGTCCATGGGAATCAGTCCACATGGAAAAGCTGATTTATTGCTCCCTTAACTAAAGGGCTCTTCAATTGCTGGTGATGCACTTTAGTCATGCTGAGATCAGCAGCGTGGAATCACCGAAGGGAGTTCCTGTCCTTGGGAGGCTCTCAGGCTCCGCAGGGCACAGGGTGGCACTTTGTGGCACTTGTGAATGCTGTGAATTCCCCCTCACCCCAGTGGCTTCCAAGAACTGAATGTTTGCTAAAAGCAGGTTTAGGGAGTTGTTCTGGTCTTGCTGCACTGAAAAGCAGGTGATTTGTGGTGACCAAAACCCAGAAAGTCCAGAGCGTTTAAGTTCCAATAATGGGGTGGAATGTCTCTACCAAGCCCCTTCCGGGGGCTGTGTGCACTTCCCATTACCAAGTTGTTTTCAGTGTGGCAGTTCAGGATAAAGAGCAAATTGCAAGATACGTTGGAGTATAAGAATCTCTGTGACTTCTTGTTCAGTAGAACCCCGGTGTTTACAGCCTGCATTTGTCAAGTTCTTAATTCTTTTTTAACTGAAGTACTAGTGGACATAAGATGATGTTACTGTTCATTTTCCTTCCTACAGAAGAATAAGCTATTGCAGTGCAAGCACACCATGTGTAGCTGTAACTGCCCAGGTTGTGGCTGGGGCTTGGAGGTTGGGGAGAGGTTTAGTGCAGGGAAAGGAGAGAAGAATGTTCTATTGCTTTAACTTAAGTCTAAATAAGTAGCAATATATCAAGAGCTGCTCTTCTGGCACTAGTTAGGAGGGGCAGACTTGAGGTGTGGGTGAAGTAGCTCAAAGCACGCAGTGACCACCCTGACCTTACAGCACAGACGGGACATGAGCCAGGCAGTGTTGTCACCTCTTTTCTCCAGAGGTGGCAGTTAATGTGGGGTCCTGATTTAGAAACTCTTTTTTTTCTGGAGGGCCTCAGGTAGATGAATTCAGGGCTCAGGGGGTGAACTTGGATCTCTGAATATTCCATTGGTGTCTCATGGTGGATGAGTTCTTCTCTAACAGTGGGTTTACTATGAAGTGCAATATGAGAGGAGAGCTCCTTGGTAACCTCCAGCAGTGGTTGCAGCACATCTAGGAGCAGTGTTGAGCAGAGCTGGCTGGCAGTGCCCAGACTAAAGGGGTTTATCTGTTTCACTGCTCTTTTTGTCTTCAGAGACATTGGTCGCTGTTCCTCAGGAGCCTGCTGAGGTCTCTTGGCACAAGTGTACTGTAGGTCAGGTTTCACTTACCCATCCCTCTGCTTTTCAGCCACTTTTGCCTCCAGTTATCCCCAGAACCAGCAAAATTCTTCCTTTGGTGGGTACTTAAGTTTGGTGTGGGAACTGCAGAGTACCACTGAGCACATTAAAGTGCTCTGCAGCATGAAACCACACGTGTAGGTAATGCTCTGTATTGGCAGCCAGAGGTACACACGTCGCATTTGCTCTTCTCAGTGACTGCTGAGACACAGCAGCCTTTGCTTCAGCTGCTCACAAAGCTCAGCATCCCTCTGCTGAGATGGATTGTGGAGCCAGCTTAGCCTAAAGAAAGCCGCTACAGGAGGTACAAAGATCCTTTGGAGCAGCCCCATGGAGTGCTTACTCTGAGCAGTGTTACCACGAGGACAGCTATGAACTTTCTGGCTGTGTTACATATCTATTATGGTGCATGACTGTGATGGAGACCATGGTGCAGCTCCCCAGGGGCTGTTCCGTCTTCCTGCATCCAGCATAGATTGTATCTGGTACTGAGCAGTCTTCTGAAGAGCAAGAACGAGACCCACACGTTATACAGGGGTAATAAACTGTGTTTGGAACAGCTCCAGAAGCACAGATGACCTTCAGACAGCAGCTTTTCTGCTCTGGAAGCCCTGCTTCAGTTACCTGTCTGCAGTGACTGGGCTTCTCCTTGCTCCTCTGAAGAGGTGGAATTCCAAGTCCATGGCAGTGTCTGGCCATCTGCTGCAGGCTGGTTGCACATCCCATCCACTTGCTCTCTGCACCTTATTAACAGGCAGCTTTGTGATCGCAGTCCTGCTTTCCTGTGCTCTTATACCCTGGGCACATGCACTTGCTGCCCACCCATGTGTGGGACACCCCATGCCTGCTGCACAGAGTGGCTGCTTCAGGAAGGTGCAGCCCCCTGACCTTCTGCATCTCCAGCTCTTAGAACACAGTTGCATCTGAGGAGCAGCCCAAAGGCAGGAGCACGTTGTACCTCTGGCTGAAAGACTTGCTGGCTGAAAGGGGGATTTCCTGCTGGAGCTCCCACATTGCTCCCAGGTCCTTGTGTAGGGCAGCAAACCACGCTGCACCCGCAGGCTGTGCCGCAGTCACGAGCAGGAGTGCTTGCTCCATTGAACAACCATCTCTGTGTTTGCACTATTGAAAGTAAGGCATGAATTGCAGAATGAGCTGGGTTTGTGTCCTGTGCATAATGAATTGAATTAAATTGAGAGCATTCTGTGATAATTTGGGTTCTTTTGTCTTTCATTTGTGCTGTTTCGGAGAAAACCATTGAGTCAAGGCCTGTTCGCAGTTAAGGATCCTGTGATCTTCCTGCGTGCCCAGTTCCAGGGAGGGAGGATTGACCTCCCATCCCTCCCAGGACGTCTCCCTACAGGAAGGTAGGAGATGGTGGAAGCCATCAGGAGCTTCGGCTTCATCTCCTGAGCCAGGCTGAGTACTTGCTGGATTGCTTCCCAGTTGGTTGCCAGGGCCCATCACCACCACAGGAGGGCCCCCACCAGCCGTGCAGGGCACAGAGCGGGGCGCTGGCAGCTCCGGGCTGCACAGACCCCACTTTCAGCTGGCACAAGTGAGGGACATGAGTCCCATGGGTTGTGTTTGGCTTCCCTTGGGTTCCTCCTGGCTCCCGGTGCCGGTGGAGCCCAGGAAACCAAATGAGCTCTGCCCGTCTGTTGTAACCCAGCCCCACACAGACCCAGCAGTGATGGATCCCTTGCCAAGGAGATGCTGCTTCACAATGCAGAGCACCTTGATGGCTTTGTAGGACAGCCACAGAGCTCCACCTGCGGTGCCAGGAGAGCCAGAGCCGGTTCCCTGCTCGCTGCCGTGTGGACACCTCTGGCAGATCCGGTTGTGGTCATTGCCCTGCCCTTGCTTGTTCCCTGCCTGTGGCGAGAGCAGCAGCTGGGCTCTGCCAGGCTCAAACCTGCGGCAGGGCAGCTCCTGGCTCTGCCCCAGGGATGCTCAAAGCTGCTGCTTGCCCTGTGGGGTGATGGTGCCCACCCCATCTTTAACCATGTTGATGGCTGCCCCCCCCCCATCTCCCCATATCGAGTCCCTGCCAAAACCTTGCATTCCCTGAGCCCTCATCCAGCCCCGGGGAAAGCCCCCAGATGGGGCCCTCCTCACCCCACAGCAGCCCCACGCTCACTGCCTGCTGCTGCTGCCACTGGGCTGGGATCTGCCTTGTAATTCCCTGTTAATACAGAAGGGAAGGCTCTGGGGAGGCCTTAGAGCAGCTCCAGGGCCTAAAGGGGCTCCAGGAAACCTGGAGAGGGGCTTGGGACAAGGGCCTGTAGGGACAGGCCAAGGGGAATGGCTTGAACCTGCCCCAGGGGAGACTGAGCTGAGCTCTTAGGCAGAAGCTCTTCCCTGTGAGGGTGCTGAGGCGCTGGCACAGGGTGCCCAGAGAAGCTGTGGCTGCCCCATCCCTGGCAGTGCTCAAGGCCAGGTTGGAGCAATCTGATTTGCTCTGGGAGCAGGAGGCTCCCACACCCTCCCTCACTGTGGGGTCAGAC